TTTTTTTTTTTTTTTTTTTTGTTATTATTTTATGAAGTGATAAACACGATGTTTTGAATAATGAAATCCATAAGTTCTTATGTCACCATTTAATACTAGTATTTTGACCATTACCTATAATAAACAAAAATCAATTGGTTTTAGGGGTATTCTCTCTAGCAATTTCAACCCCTCCTTGAAATAAAATTTTTTTTAGTATTTAAAAATATGTAGACAACACCATAAGGTTATCCTCCAAAGATAACAGAAGAACACGCACACATAGGGATTAGTTTAATAATGATATAATGAATTATTAGAATACATTCTATAAGATAGTGTTTTTGCAATATACAATAAAAATAAAAAAACTTTATGAATATGACCTCTCTGAGCTTGTTGCCCAGAGACTCCGAAAATTCAAATGACTTATGCTCAAATACTATACCACCACTAATATAATTATAAACAAGTCAATATTTAAAAATCATAATATAAATAAATATATTTATTTTTGTTATGATTTTTTAATGTAGATTTTAAACTTTACATAATTATACTGTACATACTATGTTTAAAAATATAATAGAAAAGCTATTTTGATAGATATACATGATATTAATTTGTATATAATATTAGAAGATTAAAATTTTATCATAAAAAGTTTTGTCATCTAGAAAAATATGATGGATGAATAAGATTGTAAATAAGATAATTAAATTTCCATTCTTACAATATACTCTAGTAATTGAATTAATCTTAATAAAAAATTTAATGTGTTATTATGAAGGTAAAAACTACTGTTACGAAACTAAAGATTCGCACAAAAAGAACAGTGCCTAAAACTGGAATCATGATGGTGGGTTTAGGAGGTAACAATGGTACAACAATAACTGCGGGGATTTTAGCTAATAAGTATGGTTATACTTGGGAAACTACAAGTGGAATTAAGACTCCAAATTGGTTTGGATCTATTTCACAATCATCTACCATACGCATAGGAATGGACCCAAGTGGAAAAGATGTTTATGTACCATTGAAAAGTTTGGTTCCCATGATTAATCCAAATGACATAGAAATTGATGGATGGGATATATCTTCACTTGACTTAGGTCAATCAATGAAAAGAGCTCAAGTAATACAATTTATTTCTGTTAATTTTTTTAATTTTATATCAACAAAATGATAATTTACTTAATATTTTTTATGTAGGTATTAGATATTGATTTACAAAAAAAACTTATGAAGCATATGTGTGAAATTAAACCACGGGCATCAATTTATGCACCTGATTTCATTGCAGCGAATCAGTCTAATAGAGCTGACAATTTAATTAAAACTGATAAAAAATCTGAAGCTCTCGATCAAATTCGAGCTGACATTAGAGATTTTAAAAAATCTAAATGTTTAGACCAAGTAATTGTTTTGTGGACAGCTAACACAGAAAGATTTTGTGAAGAAATGGAAGGACTCAATGACACGTCAGATAATTTATTGCGATCAATTTGTAAAAATGCTTCTGAAATTTCTCCTTCAACTCTGTTTGCTGTTGCATCAATACTTGAAGGTGTAAGTGACTGTGAAATTGTTTATTAGAAGCAGTAAAATAATAATCAATCATATTACTGTATAATTTTTAGTGCACTTATATAAATGGTTCTCCATCAAATACATTTGTAAAGGGTGTTGTTGAACTAGCTGAAAAGTGGGGTGTTCATATTGCAGGAGATGATTTCAAATCAGGTCAAACAAAACTAAAGTCTGTGCTTGTGGATTTTCTTGTTAGTGCTGGTATCAAACCAGTTTCAATTGTTAGTTACAATCATTTAGGAAATAATGATGGTTACAATTTATCAGCACCTCAACAATTTCGGTCTAAAGAAATTTCTAAAAGTAATGTTGTAGATGATATTGTACAATCTAATAACATATTATACAAACCAAATGAAAAGCCAGACCACTGTGTTGTCATCAAGTATGTCCCATTTGTTGGTGATTCTAAAAGAGCTATGGATGAATACTCATCAGAAATATTTATGAATGGAAAAAATACAATGATTATTCATAATACATGTGAAGATTCATTATTGGCCTCCCCAATAATATTAGATTTAGTAATATTAGCTGATGTTTTTAATAGAATTGAAATTGGATCGGATAAATCCGATTATACACCTTTGCATCCTATTTTATCTGTATTATCATACATGTTGAAAGCTCCTATTGTACCAAAAGGTAAGATGAATTAAAAATCAGTTTTAAAGAAATAAAATAAAAATAGTTTGTGTCCAAAAATAATAAATATATTATTTTTTTTAGGAGCACCTGTTGTAAATTCCCTTTTCCGTCAAAAAACATGCATAGAAAACATACTTAGAGCATGCTTAGGTTTGCCAGCTGAAAGTAATATGCTGTTGGAGTACATGTTACCTGCTAAGATTTTTGTAGACTCAGATGATCAAAATCAAATTGTTTACACATGTCCAAAATGTCAATCATAATATTAACAACATAGAATTATATATATTTATTTATTTAATTAAATATATATTTATATTGCTTTATGTACAATTATTGAATATAATTACAAAATACAGTTTTAGAAAATTAAATTAAATTATTCAGTTATCAATAGATGGAACAAAATGATCATAAAATGATTTTGTAAAATCAATTGATAAATCTTGAGTACAAACTGGTAGTTGTGCTATTTGTAACCCAGGTGAACCAGAATAATGAGCAAATGATGGAACTACAGTATCAGGAGCAAGGACAGTATTATCAGCTATCATACAGCAATCTTTTAAAATGCATCTCTTACCCTAAAAATTAAATTACTTATACAGATTAATAAATATTATTACATATATATTAATATAGTATTACATTATGATGAATTTATAATTAATACTTACAATAACAACATTTTTACCAATATGTACATAGGAACCAATAACTGCTGCTTGAATCACACTCTGTTCACCAATATGAACATGATCACCAATTTGTAGGGCAAAATAAGTAAATCTAAATAAATATTATTACTTTTTTAAGATTCAAATAACATGAGATGGATTAGATTATATATTTATTATTTAATTAATGTTAATATTTTTATAACTAAATAATAATGATACCATTATTTATAACCAATTGTAATAACTAAATTTATAAAAATATGTAAAAAGTTGTAAAAATATAGTTATAAATATTAACTTAAGCGTTAGGTTTTTATTGAAATAACATAAATATTATTACCCTCCGCTAAATTTTTTGCATGGAGGTCGGATTACTGAACCTTTACCAACAAAACAATATCGACCCATTTTGACACTAGCAAGATCTCCACGTAACATAACACCTGACTGAAGAATTACTTTACCATTAAGTATTATATTTTGAGAACCATAGATTTGGGCTTGACGGCTCACTTTATTACCAGTCGTCTAAAAAAATATTTAAAATTTTATAAAATTATTACTAGTTATAATTAAAAAGAATGAATAAAAGATATTTTTACTGTACCGTTTCTACATATTCAGCTTTGTTATAATATGTATCTTGAAGTTCCATATTGGAGTCAAGGAATAAAATCAAGTGAGTATCTTTCAATTTTTAAAGATATTTATCCATTATTATTCACTTAAATTCATTCAATTAGCATGGATTACCTAACTATTGTTATCATTATAAACTTGTTATCAGAGTTAAATCATAATGTGTAAAACAAGTTGCTAACTACTTGAGGAACGCACTCTAACGGCATTCCGACGCGAACGCTCGTCACGATTGCCCAAAATCGCACGCAATAGCACAATATCAAAACATTGCAATCGTGTGTGATCGGTGGATGGTGGTCCGGTCGTTAATTTATTATCGCAATAACAACAGGAATTGTACAATTACAAATCGCAAAAAAAAAAAAATTGTGAGCGCCAGTGAGTCACGTTGATTCACCAGTATTTGAGTGCGTGTGTGTTTATGTCGAAATTACCAACCATCATTTGAAGAATTAGATAGTAACACTCAATGGAATTCTAATATTCATCAAGAATTTTTGAAGACGATCAAGGTCGTCTTTAATTGGATATTTTTACAAAATACTGTAAATGGTAAAATTTCGTTTATATTTATTTATTTAACCCTAGAAGGTGTGGTTCTTTTACTACTGTAATAATAAATTACTTGTTAATTGTTATGCAATTCTAAGTGTCTCTTACACAACATGCTGATAAGCGTATAATTAAGATTTACCTTTTTGACAATTTTATCTCATTTTATTAAAATTCAAATATAGTTTTTGCATGCTCATTTTGAATAAATAAATATCAGCAAGTAAATTTTAATCTATTCTTTTTAATAAATTTTCTTAATGAGTGATATGTTTTAAAAATATTAAGTTGATATAATTAAAATATTTTATTTTTTATTTTTACTTGTTTAATGTACTATTTCCTCCAAAATATGGTAGTCATTAATTATTATTTTATAGTATCTAACTTATTTGCTCAATGATAACATAAATATGAATATTTTTTTTTATTGTCTTAGCATCATAATGAAAACTTATTATTTTTTAAATATAAAGAGAATAGTATTATTCTGTTTTCAAAATTAAATATGAATAAACATTTATCTAATGTTACTAATTGATTAATTAGTAATATATACATATATATATATATATATTATTTTATCAAATTAGGAATAAATCCACTCTAATTTCATTCATTTGTTTCTTAAATATTAGTTTTAAGCTAGTATCAAGCATTTGGAGTATACAATATTAACTGTCTGGGATATATTATGAATCTTAATACAAGACACAAATAAAAATTTTCAATTGGCAAGTTACCATGTAAATTTTTTTACTCATTTTGAATGTTATAAGCAAAATATAAATGTTGACAAACATTTTTGTAAAGATAACATGGTCAATGGGTGCGCGCATACTTCTTTCTCCCCTCTAAATATGCCAATACCAATACAGTTTTAGAAAGAAAATGTAAACAGTGCATTACTTGTTGAGATAAGTTTTTTTTAAATTTTATTTTGAAGTTAGCTGAATTACAAAAATGTAACTTATATTTAATATAACTTAGTAATAAGTATAAAAATTTTCAGTTATGATGTAATCAGTATCTAGTATTAATTTTAATATGAAAATTATTGTGAAAATATACAAGTATCATATGAACAAGTAACTCTAAGTGTTTCAGTTTTAAATATAAATTAATCATATTTTTTGATTATCTTAAAATAATTTAAAATAGTCTCATCTTTATTTTTCAGCTACTAATGTTACAATGACTATGGCAAAATGGATATTGCCGACATCAAAGTTAGGGTTCTTTATGACTTTGAGTACAAAACCCGTGAAAATAAATGCATTTCCATTAAAGAAGGTGAAAAATTACTTTTATTAAAAAAAACTAATAATGATTGGTGGCAAGTCATACGTAGCTCGGGACGTCCATTTTATGTACCAGCTACATTTGTTAAAGAAATACCACGTGCACCTAGTAGACCAAGTTTATCCAAGAACGAAGAGAAAATCAAGTTTGAAAAACCTCAAGTTTTAAAAAGAACAATTTTTGAAAAACCTTCAACTCCTTCTTACGAAAACATTCCAATTGAAAATACAAATTCACATGATGAATCTGTTGAATACGAAAATCTTGTTGATGATGTCATTAGTAACATTAAACGAGTAGACATCCAAAATGAAAATAATATCTTATCGCCAATACGAAATAGAAAAAATAAAACAATTGTCACATTAAATCAAGAAAATTCTGGTTATTGTCAAGTTAATGTTAAAAAATGTGATTCTAAACAGCAATTATCTTTACAGTTATCAAGTTCTTTAGAAGAACTCGCTCAAGAAATTGAACTAAAATCAATGCCTTTGAACAAAAATTCCTTAGGTAAAAATTCATTAAATGCTGAAAGTTATTCAAAAGTACAAAATTTACTGGGAAATATCCGTAAGCCGTCCACTGTATCTTCTAAAAATTTGACTGAAATTGAAAAACCCAGCTTAGAAATTCAAAATTCATTACATAAAAATAAACTTTGTTATACTGGTAGTTTTAAAACCAAACATGAGCGTGATAAATGGGCAAAAAATATTATGACTAATAGTAATATTATTGAAGAGCATAAACCAGATGATGAAGAATCAATGACTATGATGAGTGATTCAATTATGTCAAAATCAACATCAACCCCTGATGCTCACAGTACTAGCGCAGACCTTACAGGTGGATCAACTGATAGCCTATTAGATGGTGACTCAATAGGTATTACAGATAGTGACCAAGACTCATTAAGATTACATGGATCTAAAAAACGTACATCTTTAGCCCGAAATCGTAGAGTAAGTTAATTTCTTTAATGTATGTTATGTAACATAGATATATTTTATAATATACATAGAGTTAGAAAAATGTATTTTATTTTTTTTATTTAATTTTAATATATATTTATTTTTAAATAATCAGCGACATAAAGCAAGACTATTCGTTATCAATAGTCTTATTTTCATTAACATACATAAAACAAACATTATTTCTTATAATAATGATAAATCATAATTTCATTTTAGTTGTTAACTATTTTGCTTGCTAAATAGAATTAATTTTAATCAAAAGTACCTTTTTTCTATCAACTGTTTAAATGAATTTAAAATACTAAGTTTACTTAAAACAATATCTTTTTAAAAAATTCACTTATAAACAGTGTTGCAATAAAGTTGCAAAAATGGGACCCATCTGTATTGTACACCCTAAGTACACAATCTCAGGGGCACTGTTAATAAATCACAATTTAAAAAATAATCTTATAAAGATACATAAATATTTTTTTTTATAACTGTATACAACACTAAAAACTTTTAATTAAAGCATTATGGTGTTTCCTTATTATGTATTCCCTATTATTATAAATTTCTTTTAGGTCTATGGTCAACATTAAGAATTATATGTGTTTATATTTTTTATTAAAAAAATCAAGTGCGTCAAAGTATAGGTATATCTTAAAATAGTATCGAGTATATTTACTATTCTTTTCTAAATATATTATTCATATAAACAGTATATATAAGTTTTGCAATATTATTTATAAAAAAAATTCGTAATCACATAATTTCGTTGTACAATTTTTTATACAAGCACTTGCGTACTTTATGTCACGAATCTTTAACTTGTCATCACTCTTAAAAAGCTTAATGTATTTTACGTAACATACAAATTTTTTAAAGAAAAAAATATCTATTTTTTTTAATTTTCAAAGATCTGCGATCGTTTTAAGTTGTGTAAATAATTAATTCATGTGTTTATTGTTGTAGTGTATGACTTTTTTTATTGTATAAATTTATTTTATAGGGGAGGCAAAATATTTTCTTAAATATTTGGTTTTATTTTTTGCTCGACAGCCCCAGATTTGAAGAGGTGACTGAAATCGTTGGCCAGGCAATCACGCTTTTCCTCCATAGATGGAACCAGAAGTTTTAGCCCTTTTAGTTAATGAATTAGCTCTCCATAAAATAAAAAAAATATGTATGTTTTCATATACATGTATATTGTTATTTGGGATAGGAAAAAATGTTATTCTAATAGGCACCTATGGGCCCAACAGAAAAAAAGTTGTTTGGTAGTTTTATGTATTATTTATAAAATTAAGTATCTATGAATTTAATTAATAAAAATAAAACTTTTATGTTATTAATCTATAAAAAGAATACTTTTAATATAAGCATTCATAATATAATTTAACAAAAATAACAATTTTTTTTCGTCTTTTGATTAAAAAAAATGTATAATACACAACGATTATAAAATTTAACCAAGCAAAAGCAAGGGGGGCCTATCCCTTCCATTGACCACCATGCGGATGCAGGTGTAAAATCTAATAAAAATATATAATATCTTTTACTTTAAAAAAACTTCGTAGGTAAAGTAATATATATTTAGTTTTTTAAGAATTATAACAAGTTAATGATCGCGTCCAAAAAATAATGTATGGCCGCCGCCGCGGAAATAAAATCCGTGTGATGTCATGTACCTATTTAATGTCGCTCGTAAGTCAACAATGAGAAATCTGAAAAAAAAAATTTAGTGTGTAAGAAAAGATTTTTGATTGTATGATCTATTAAAAAAAAAAACATTTTCTTTACTATTTATAATTTTACATTCTACTGATAAGTCCAAGTTATGTTGCAATTACGATCTGAAAACAATGATGTCGCAAAAAAAGTATTCTATTACAAGAGATTTAAGCAACCTTATCATACGATCATAACAGAAAGCCAAGAGAAATAGTTTATTATAATAATTATAATTTTTTGATGCATATTCCAGTGCCGATAGTATTATCTTTCATCATTGACTTCCATGTTGTTTCTTTATGAAATAATTTTAATTAATATTATTAGTCTTTTGTGTACTTTTAATGAAAATAATTATGTTAACAGATGGATGTCTGTTTCGCAGTTTTAAAAGTCCTGTAACTGTACGTTCATAAATTTCAATTTGTATTTAAACAGAGCAAATGGAAAATAAAAATATACTTTCTAAAAATCTTGAAGATTCCAAGGACAGGTGTTTTCTATACATTTTTCAAGATCGATTTTGCCTATATTTTAAAAGACTACATCTCTATAAGGCAGGTGCTTGGTTGTGCCTCTTGTCAATGAATTGTACGATTTTAAAGCCATTTGTCTAAAAAGGAATTGGGTTATGGATAACATATCGCACCATCAAAACATATAAATTGAGAATTCTCGTTTTTTGGTTGTATATATTTTCCTTGTAGTAAAAATATTTGAATATATAAAATATATTCCTTTTTCGACCTACAGTTTGAAATTGTATAACTTTTATTATTTTACAAAATATCGTCTTAGTTTTATTTCATAATGTCATAATACAAATTTTATTAATTCATTTCATTGTGTTTGAATTACCTCTTTAATTTATTAGTAACAAAACAATATAAATATATATGATGTTTGTTGACTAATTTAGTTATCTGCCTACTATAACCGCTAAATTTTACTTCATAATTCACTTCGAAAGGTTTTAAAAATTAGGATGATGGTGATCATGGTTTTCGCACAATGAGTTTTCACTTATTTATAATCAATTCCGTCGTCCGTGTCACTTTCACGTGTAATTTTTTTAGCGCATCTTACGAGAAAATGGAAAAGTATAAAATCATACAAACTGAGAATAATGTTCGCCCGTATTTAATTAACCTTGAAAATTTGCTCTATTCACTTGAGTCAATTACAAAATAATATCTGATTTCGTTTAACGCTTGAACATGTCTCGCTACGACTCACATTTAGGCATAGTCTTTTTTTTTTGTCAGTATGACATTTTGTTTTTTTATTGTAGGTCGAGTCGTATACCAAACGTTATCCTCTGAGAAATTCGTCTCCGCCGGTACCCGACTCGAGTGCTTCACACGACCAAGGCGAACACGTGTATGGCTCTTGGTACAAATATTCCACCGATGACGGCTCTGGCGGTAGCCGACCGTTTTACTACAACACCAAGACGTACGAACGCACTTGGTCTTCGCCGAAACGCCGTTGTGTCGTTGACGTGAGTACCTTTGTTGATACTGTTGGGTCTAGATGTACTCTCGAACTCGACCTTAATCATTAATTGTTTTTTTATAGGATGACAAAGGAAATACAAGTCGCCATAGCAGTGCAAATGCTTTGAATTCTGGCAGCCAAAGTTCTTCGCCCTTAGCCGAATTGGACGTAGAGTATGAGCCAAATGATAATTGCACACCGGCTCCCAAAACAAACGCCAAGAAGTCTATCAATGACGCACCAGTGGGATGGATAATGCAAGCAGATCCTTCCACCGGATTGCCGTGTTTCGTCAATCAATCGACGGGTGCCAAGGTAGGCATGTTCGAATTTATTCACTAGGTGGTATACGTTTAAAGACAATAAATTAATGCTATTGCTACGGAAAATTATTATTATTATAAATATATAATAACTATGTATCATTTTTACACACTACTGATTCTATTTAATATAAACGTCAAACCCAGTGCTTCAAAGAGTCTTGAAGAAATCGTTAAAAAAAAGCTAATATTTATTAAAAAATGGAACATATTAACAAATGCTTCTCAAAAGTGATTTACTGTATGAGCCACGATTTTTAGCGGTAACTTTTGATAACAGTTTCGATTTAAAAATTGCAAGAGGTACTATGATATTTACATGATATCAGTTTTTGTTTTAAATCCAATTAATTGCACAAACGTACCTAAGATTGCTTAATGTTAAAAAAATAAATCCATGATCACCTTATAAATATTTATAGAAATAATTATAAGGTCACATTTAGAAATCAATAGATCATCCATTGAATCTGTGCTTTATGAATGTCGAGGCGTCACTTTGAAATTAACCCAACCCCTAACTTTCTCCTTCATGTGTGTTCTCTATTCGTTATAATTTAATTTAACGACGCAGCTGAGATATCATTGTTGAATTTGTTTCACATTTATAAGTATCGAAAGTTTATCTTAATTAAAAGTAAAATCAATATCTATCATTTATATACTCCATAAATGTTAATTTGACTTTGTAATATTTTTTTATAAATTATTTTTTGTATTTGAATTTTACACAGTCGATGCTATAACAACGTGTATGTCCTTGTGTATTTAGAGTAAACTTTTTGCAATATCGGTTTTGACAGTTGCAAGACTGATAGCTTAGTATTTCCGCCGTAAATTATTATTTGCCTGTAAAAAATAGATTACTTTTTATGTCAATGTATTTTGTATTATAAACTTTATATCGAAATAATTATTCGACTGGAGGTGTGGCGTGACGTACTGACCGTACACAAAGACCCGTTTATTAAAGTGCGCTCAACGCGGACACGTCACATGGATTGAATCTATTCAAAGCGCCTGGGTAGTGACGGCCATTTGTTTTTTAATAATAGGACGATTTTTATTTTGCCGAGAATTGACAAGCGTTGATCAATTTATTAGTTCACTCGCAAAACTTCATTATGAATATTTATACTGTATTGTCAAATGGAGTCTCACTGACGCTTCATTTACACTGTCTCAAAATTAAATTTTAGCCTGATAGATTAATTTTAGTATTTAGCGATTCAGACCTATTTAATCTTAACAGTTCAGTTATACAGAGTGTTCAGTAAATAAGGAAACGAATTTCTATTGTACTCATTGTTTGTAACAATTTAACTGTTTCCTAACTTACTGAACACCCTGTATAGTATTTTATTATGTTTAATAATTATTATGCTATAATTAACAGTTGGTTTGAATATATTTAAATATTATTCTTATAAATCATAATTAATAAGCCATTCATCAAATATTAGTTGTTTCATATAATTAACTCGTTTTATAATAACACGTGATCTTTAACGTCACTTTGCTCATTATGCTATCCTACGATGTGCACTAAATAAAATAAACGAACAAAACATCGTTAGAACTGGTTACATTATAAGTCTTGTTTAAATGTTAAAACATTTAAATTTTTATGTTTATGACTACCGTCAAATGACCCATCCATTTAACGGGGGGTGATCAAACTTGGGACAGTTAAATATTTTACAGAATTCATCACTTAATTTTTGTTCACAAATATTTTGTTTCTTAACAATATATTTAATCATTTTACTAATGTTGTAGATTGTTAAGTCTGAAATTATAAAAGATATTTATCTGCCCAAAGTCGGTCTATTTGACGGTATTTAAAAATGCATATCTATTTTAAATAATTTTATAGTTGGTTGTTGCCTTCAATATAATATTTATAAGTTTCAATATATACTAAAGGGATAGTGATAACTAAAAATTATAATTATTAATTTATATTATGATAAAAAATGGTTCAATAATAGGTTCAATGTGAATTCTTCTTTGTTTAATTATCTTCAATTCATTTGGTTTCTTTGTACCTATCGACAATATAAAAAAATTCTGTTCAATTTATAACAATCAACTATTATTTAAGTAACATTTTTTGTAAGTTGCTGTGTACGAAGTTATTTAAAAATAATTGACCTTTTCAAATATGAGAATATACGTATTTATTATTGCTGAGATCAGTGGTGTTGATTAAAAAGTTTAACTTGGTGCATAACCTCCTCAGTTATAATGCATATATTTTTAATGATTATTTTGTGTATTGGTTAAGATTAAGTATAAAATAATACAAACAAAGTTTTTTTGTAGAAGTAAACGATTTTTAGAATTGTTATCTAAACAAGTTACTAATTATCCACTTCAAAATACAATTATTACACTTTGGCTGTAATTTGCAAACGTTAGCTAATCTTATTAAAAAAAAAAATAGTTTATGTATTCTAGAAATGCATAATTTTTCTATAATTAAGAAAAATGGTAATTTTTTAGATAGGGTACATTCAAACTTATTAAGCTGACTTAAATTTTAAAGATTGTATGACATATATTGTAAAATACTCACTTCCGAATCTGTACTAAGGGGCTAGTGTGCAAGGATTCGACTATGATTAAATTCTATCAAATTAAGTTAATGTATGATTGTCAGAAAAGACTCATTAATAATTAGATATAATTAAACATTTGTTTATTTAGCTAACTGATTTAAGGTAATTTTGAAATGATTTAAAAAGGTTTTTTTTACAGGGGGGAATGGCAAGCTGTACTGTATATACTTTAGCGTAGATATATTGTTTTTATTGTAATTTTTATATATGTATTTGAAGTGAACGTAAAGTAATCTTTTTCAACACAATATGATGATTAAAATACTTCTTTAATTATTTTTATCACATTAACTAATTATTCAATAGTGTTTTAGAAATATTTTTGACGCAATACACTATTATAATCCACTAAATTTTTTCTTCGGCTTATTCATTATAATTTTTATTTTAATCAAATGTGTTATTTAACGTGCAAGTTGTAGATTTTTTATCGTCAAATAGTACGCACCTACTTTTTATTTACATAATTTTATTGCAGTGTATTTTATTTGTTGGAACGCGTTCATTGTGATCATCTCAATTATGTATTCTATTACGATTTGTCATTTATACATTTCCTAGGATTGGAAGAATTCATGGAGGTTTATGTTTGCATTGTTTATTTATTTATATTTTTTGCTAAATTCTCATGATAATATTTAAATGTGTGACGGCTTATATATACAGGGTGTTCAGTAAGTCAGGAAACTGGTTTCTATTGTTCTCATTGTTTGTAACAATTTACCTGTTCCTTATTTACTGAACACCCTATATATGTTATGGCAATTAAATAATTTTTAAATACTAAAATAAAAACATTTGCTTATACACTAATTTCTCACACTATATTAATTTCATTAATCTTAAATACAAATAGAAATTTTGAATGTGTTCAGTTGATATTGATTTTAGTAAAGTTTATCAAAAAAGCTAGCCCTATTTTTGCCATACTCTTTTCAAAACAGAAATATACTTTTACTTTTGTAAATAGTTCTAAATAAAAAAAAAAAACGAAGAAGCAAATAACAATGTGGTGTTCAATTAAAAACAGACCTAGAGACAAATTTGACCTATCCTGAACGTGGCGCTGCCCTTAATTTACTCCTGTTAACGACCTACCGTGTTCTAAACATAAAAAGTATACAATCTACAAAAAATTGGTCAAGTCTAAAAATCATTCAAAATGTTCTTCCCTCTTACATAAAAGTCTTTACATTTCGATAGTTTTTATTTTTAATATATTATTTATGAATAATTTACCTTGCACTTCCTAGTTTTCGTTTTGTTAGGTTTCATTAGTATTGATACTTTATGTCCACCAACACTCGTATTTAGATTTCGTTTAACATTTGCAACTGCCTTTATGATGTGTTATTTTTAAACGTTCGTTTTCTCTGCCCTTTAATTACAATTAACGAACTTAACGATGAACATATTTTTGTTTTTATTTTTGCAAAAGGTTACTGCTTCATTGTACAAAAAAATAGCCTGGGTCGTGACATTTAAAAATGTCAACTGTGTTGTATCGGCCAAATGAAGAGTGCCGCGTCTTTATCGTTTCCCATTTTGCGCTATCAACTAGTATCGTGCAAAGTGCACTTTCCTCTCTCTCACTCGCACTGTCCCCGCCAGTACTCTAAAAGCAATAGTATTAATAATAATAATCATCATCATCATCGCCGTTGTCGACGCTCATGATGTCATAAAGACAATAAGTGCCGGAATCTATGTGTGAACGCATTGGGATGTTAGCGTGTATATCATCAATTATTATTATTAGTCTACGCTCGAGCACGAATGCGACGACGGTATTTTCTTATCGGCAGCGGGGCTACAGATTAAAAAACAAAAACGCCAATGTACTGTTGTGTTTCATTAGCGAAATAACAATATTGTGTCTGATATCGCAAAGATGGAGGCTGACGTGGTGAGATGGCTTCAGCGCTTAAGGTACACTGTTTCAGAAGAACGAGAACCGCCATGGAATGCAACAAGCAACACATGTCAGGATTCGGTACTGGACACTGTTGTTGACAACTTGTTTGATTTCGAATCGGCTACTGGTAGTGTTTGCTCAGACTTCGAATACTGGGATATGAAGAGTTGCGATGGCAATACGTTGTGGTGGTATGGCGAGATTACCGAAGGAAATCCTAGGGCCGATACATGTATGGAAATGTCATCCGCCGAGACGACTGACCTAAAAATTGAATGCCAAATAGGAGGACGGAGGCGGTGGAGCGACATATACGCATGGAAACGGGAGCTCTGGGAAAACGCTTTTTACGACGAAACTACCTCGGATGGAGATGACTATCAACATCCTCAACATGATCAATGCAAGGTGTCGAATGAAAAATATATTTTTTTTTTTTTTGAGTTTTTTTAATGCGAATATCGGAAGTTGTTATTATTTTCTTAGTAGAGCAACAACTCTTTTGAATCTAGAACAATTCCCTCTCTGTTAAATTTTAGCTATCCGAAGCTTTTCTTTTGGCTATAGTTATAATTTTTTAGTTTTAACCTTTAGTGATCTATATTAAAATGTCATCTTACAATTTCACATATTGTGAGTGAATCAAATTTAAAGTGATTTTTCAAATTGCATAAACTCAAATGCTTATCTTCTTAAATCAGATCTTATTATTTAAATTTTAGTATGACACGCCATTAAATAATAATGAGTTTATTTAAGAAACACCGAGTTATAAGTTACCAGTAAAATAAATTTTTTGACTTATTTCCTTTGATTATTTTCAGTGGTTTACTTCAAAAGACTTCGAAGGCAGATCTTATTACTTCGAAGAAAACAGTAATGAGTCATCTTGGAACTTACCTGAGGCTAGTGCGAGCAGTAATAACAATACGACCACCACAAATGATCAGAGTCCACTTACTCTTAGTAAATTAGATTTGGAAGACACATCATCATCTCTACTATCCAATAAGAGTAGTCGTGATAAAAAAGATGCCGACTCAATGTAATTGAATTTAAACATTTTATATTAAAAATGAACTTATCAATTATTTAAAATAAAATTATGTATTTAAAATATTAATTTAAAAGTAAAACATATTTCACTCGGTATGTGTTTAGTGCTGGTGACACTATTTCCGAAATATGTATACACGATTTTTTTAGTTTTAAATTAATGTTTAAAATTTTAAACAATATTAGACTCAAGTGATCAATTTTTATTATAAAATGCGATTGCTTTAACGCTAGTCACTTGATTTCTCTTAAAATAATAGTTTATTTTTTTTGTTTTTGTTAGTTTGTATCTCCGTTTATCAGTTAAAAAATAATTTTTATGTTCATCCCTTATTCATTATAGAGGTGTTAATTTTATTTTTATTTTATGGTATCCTACATATTTAATTACCTTATAATAGAAAATAATCTAATTAAGAAAATAACTGTTCGACAATAATTTTTGGATCATTGCTATGGCAGATATTCACAATTCTGCACCTTGGCAGAATTAGAAGAACGGTCATCTTCACTTAATCTCCAATCTATCTTTTAAAATGCTAATAACTTACAATGTGTTACCAAAAGTTATTATTGAACAGTCATTTTTAAAATTAGATAATTTTCTATTTTATAAGCTAGTTAAATATGTATAATGCCATTTAAAAAAATAAAGTCGACACCCTTATAAGATATAAGGTAAAAATATTTTTTAACAAATTATTATATATATGTAACTAACAAAAACCTCAAAAATATGACAGAAAAACTTATTATTATAAGTAAAATTGAGTGACTAGCGTTAAAAGAATCACCTGTATAATCTTTATATATATATATATATATATATATATATATATATAAACAATTTATACAATAAGCTTATAAGGGTAAATATATGAAATTAAAACTTGATGAGAAATCCCCCATTTAAATATTATTATTTATATTTTTTTTAACTGTTGCAAGTAACACAGCTAATAAAGTATTTTTCCGAGGCACTCTCGAGGGATGGACTCATTAAAAAAGTGCTTAACTCATCAGTGTGTTGAGGTATAAGTATATCATGGTGGCTGTGTTGGTACTAAAGAAAGCAAATCGATTGTCAGGTTTCTTTTTAGGAATTGAGAATATTTTGTATTAAAATAGTTCTTTAATTTTTTCCCATAAACTTCCATCCAAAAAAGATAATTTAATTAGTTTTTTTTTTTTTTCAAAATTATCAGACTTATGTTTAGCAAACATTTTTTTAAATGAAATTTTGTAATCTAAAAACTAAAAATGAAAGAAAATTTAAACTTGATTTTTTTCCAATTATAACAAAGTGTATTTCAATAATTTTATTGTTTATTTTTTGAAGTTGAAAAATCGTAATTACACATTTTTTGTCACTAATCATTTATATAATAAGTTATATATATTTTAAGTGTTAAAAAAAATTATTTCTATTAGATTTTATCAATTTTATTTGTCTTAGTACATGATGAACTCTAATTTTTCATTTTTCGTTTTGGTAATTTATTTTTAGAAGCCCCTTGTCAACACCACAATGTACTGCGCCACGAAATTGGCCTCAATTATGGGGTGGTCACATGGTAAATTTCTTTATTTCATATTTTAATATTAATAGGTAAAAAACTATAAAATTATTAATTTTTATGTAGTGCATATTAAAAGAAGGTCCATTGAGTCGTACTAAGATAACTGAAAATGGTAAGCGCCTCAGAAAACACTGGACAACATCACATGTCATACTTACTGAATTGTTTATGTTGTTTTTCAAAGATGCTAAATCATTTTCAGCAATGGTAAAGAATTCAAAATTGTAATAAATGTATATCTAAAATTGAATCTAATTCTTTTTATTTTAGAAAAATGGCAGTGGGCGACCAGAACTATCTGTCGATCTTAATGGTGCTTTGGTTTATCCTGCTGATAAAGTATCAAGTCGAAAAAATGTTTATGTTATAAGTACTGTATTAGGAACTCAAGTTTTATTTCAAGATGAAAATAATACTCAAGCCCAATCATGGGTTAGCACAATACAAGCTGCTATATCTAATCTTGTAAATGCTCTTTAACATTTTTTTTACATTTTATTGATTTTTATATATTTTATACTTATAATATTATAAATTTGTAGCCAAGTAGTTTTGATGCTTGTCCACGAATACCTAGTGCTCGATCAAATGAATCGCCTGAAACTGAAAAAAGCATTAAACTTAATAGAAACAAGTCCCTAAAATGTAAGTTACCCACTGTTCAATTATCCAATCAGTGTGGGATGCATATTATATGTCACGACCATATCCTGTGAAGGTTATATGATAATAAAACAGGAAAAGAGAGTGGTTATCAATTAAATGTAATAAAAGTATAATATATTGAACCAGTATGCATTGGTTGTATTATATATACTTCATACTAATAAATTATTTTTATTTTGGCAAAAAAATTATAAAGAATTTTTTGCTTATAAATTCTAAATTTTATTATCTTGTGAAAAAGATGATTAAAATTTGGTTGATTTTTACTATAGACAATTTAAAAAATGTATTTTCTATAGTAAAATTAAAAGATGGAGGTAGTGTGGAAGATTTAACTTCAAACAATGCAGAAAGACAAACTAAAATAAAAGCTCGGCTACGTAAGTTCTTTCATCGGCGTCCAACAATGGAATCATTGGTCAAAAAAGGCATTTGGAAAGGTATACTATTACACTTATAAGTTTTTTTTAACAGATGAATGAATAATCATAAAATTATAAATAAAATTTTTGTAGTCTTTTCAAATTATCTTTAATTATTTAAAAAAGTTATAGAACCTAATGCATGGAAATGTTTATTCTGTGAATTCCAGAATACATTAAATTTTTCTTTAATTTAAATTAATAATATTAGATATTTAAAAAAATGAGTATTACATTTTTTACTTTATTGTAATTAATTGTATTAATTGTTGTTAATGAATTATTTTAGATGAACCTGCTTTTGGATGTTTTCTTGAACATGTTGTGGGTACGGAACATCCACGTATTCCAGCCTTTGTTAAACGTTGTATCAATGCAATTGAGAGTAGTGAAGAAAACCTTAAAACTGACGGATTATATCGTGCTTCTGGTAACTTGTCGCAAGTACAAAAAATACGGTTACAAGTTGATCAAAATAATTTGTCAGTAATAGATCAAGAAGAAGATGTCCATGTATTGACGGGGGCTTTAAAATTGTTCTTTAGGGAACTTAAAGAACCTTTGATACCTTACCATGTTCTTCGTAAAGCTATTTCAGCTGGAAGTATGTATGATTTTTCAATTATGTATCATATGATATACTTTTATACATAAATTCTACAATATAATAATTATAAAATTATTTTAACATTTAACTTCTTCATTTTCTATAAATCTATTTATTAAAATTATTGAAGTTAAAAAAGTCAATCAATTTCATAAATAAACTTGCATTCACAGTGGCTGATGCAAGTGGTGCATGCTGTTTCTTTATACTATTATTGCCTACTAAATAGAAGTATTTTGAATTGTAAAATAAAAAAGTTGATTTTGAGGTCTAAAAACTGTGCTTCCTCCTTCAAAAAATGCAAGCGCCTGCTTGCATATTAAAATGTTATAGTTATAAGTTTTAATTAACATTCAAAAACTTTTTTATGTAAAATTCAAATATCAGTTAAATAACTCTTAATCGGATTGTATATTTTCTTTATTATTTAATTAAAGTTTATTATTTTTCAGCAAATCATAGTCGGAAGGACAAATTATTACATTTTCGTGATATTACCAAATCATTGCCTGCAGCAAATTATGATACATTGAAATTTTTATTAAAACACTTACTTAAGTAATTATATTTTCATTTTTATCTATGGGCCTTAATACCAATACTATTGTTATAAAAATTACTGATTCCGATTCCTTACTATGACACAGTTTGTTATTTTAATAAATAGTTTAATAATTCTAAGAACAAGTAAAAAGGTATAAAACAATGTCACCAACTTTTAGTTTTATTTATGAATGTGTTATTTATAAGCAGGGTTCAATACAATAATATTATTTAAAAGTGTTACTAAGATTCATCCTTTTTATTTGTGATAAAAAAATGTGTTGTTATTACATAAAAACTAGATTCTTGTGAAACTGTACTGTTATAAGAAATATTGTTATTAGTGTATAACATATGATAATGTGTATAAATCTACACTGATATTGAGGCATCATAATAATATTGTGCTTTTTTAAAATTTATATTATTTATCTATTTTAGGGTGACAAGTTACAAAGAATTTAATCGTATGCAAATACCAAATTTAGCTATTGTTTTTGGTCCAACTCTAATGTGGCCTGAAACGGAATCTACCAATATGGCTATTGACTTGATGCAACAAAATATGGTTATAGAAGCTTTATTAGTTGATTTTGATAATATTTTTAGATGAAAAAATTAAACAATTTTATTTTTAAACCATACATTCCAAAAAATCTATTCTCCTATTAATTTTTTTTAAGTTATACATTTTGACTAATAACAAGACAATACTTAAGACTGACACAACTTTAACATTTAGTGCAGGTATATTGTTGGGTATTTAAAATATACATATAATGTATATTTTTAAAATGTATTATTAAAGTGTTAACCAGTTTATAATTGTAAATTTTACCATCTATTTTGAATATTATTAAAGTATAGAATATATTTTGAACTACTACCATACCAATTACAAATAAAACTAATTAATAATTTTTAGTACATAATTTTAGTATATAGTCTGACTTTTAATGTATACTTTGTTACAATTATATTATTTATTCTCATTTTCACAATTATTATCCTATTAGTTGTTTTTTTATGTGTGTACTCATGAATTAGATTATTTTTGTTACTGTTTATTTAATTTAGTAATGATTTCTTAGTTTTAAGTAAAACTATTTTCTTAAAAATCAACTTATTCTTTGACAAATATAATATATATATATATATATACTATGTTATGTGTGTATAAAAATATTAATATTAATTCATTAGTTATATTTAAATATAAACATGCACATATTACCTGCGATATGTTATCGCTTCATTTTAATTTTTAGGTATGTTAAAATATTGTTAGTATAAAATTTAATAGGGCCATGTATTTATTTTTACCAAAATAAATGACACTTTATATTATATTTTTGTGTGAATATAATTTACATATAATAAAAAATGTATTTATCTTTTTTTTTTTTTTTTTTATAAATGGTTCAATATTTATTTCAAATGCAGAACATGGCATGTTTAATTCATAGGCAGTAAGAACTTCAGGATGTAAAACTCCCATTATTCCAATGGTTACTTCTCTATAATATATTTGTGCACAACGACCAGGAAAATAACTTTCGTCTAGGATAATATTAACACTTTAAATTTATTTTAAATAATTTTATGCTAATGCTTACCATTTGCCGATTTTATTTGATATGCATCACCAAATTTTTGGTTAAATGGAATGCCAAGAACTTGCATAAGCCTATCCATGAGACCATGTACTATTTCAAACCCAGGAGTTTTACCATAGTACACAGCACACACACGTCGTTCATTGCGAGCTCCTACTTCTAATAATATTAGATGTAAAACATAGTTTGTAATTATAATTTTTTTTTCGGTGTAATACATACCACTTGTGATGTCTTTAAGTACTACATCAGATACTTCAAATAATTTCATGGGCAATGGCATTTTTTTGTTAGCTGCAACCGTTTTTAAAAGGCCTGATAAAAGATTTGTACGTGCAACTTGGAACTCTAAAGTTTTTGGATTACTAATACGAACAGTTGATTCTTCATCAAATTTTTTTCTCAATTTAACTGATACATCATCTTTGGAGCACTAAAAATATAACTTGCATTATACACTCACATATCATTTGTATAAAAAGCAGCATACTAAAGAAAATGTCAAAACTTCTTTAAAACCACATTGAGCTATTTCATTTCTTATTTTATCTGATAATGAATTAAGTGGCAGTTGAGAACCAACAGTGATTGTTTTTGGGACAGTTTTTGGAATATTGTTGTAGCCATAAGCTATGGCTACATCTTCATAAATATCACAAGCATGAATTATATCATGACGTGTTGGAGGTACTTCAACTGAAATCTCATCGGATTGTACTAGTGCTGATGAATTAAGACACATTGATGTTAAAGCTGATGTTATGTTATCAATACTTTCACTAAAAAAATATATTAACTTAAAATTTAACTCCATTTAATATTTCCTATCTTACCTTATTCCTAAATAGGAGTTGATTTTTTCACAACTAACAGTTTCTTTACGATAATTCAATTGAGGATATGTACTCACAGAATTATCTGAATATATTACTTCACAACATTCTGCTGTGTACTTATTTAAACAATATTTACTAAACATACATAGAATTGTATCTAAAACAATGTTTGCCTGAAAATTAAGTTAAAATTATCAGATTTTTTTAAAACAACTTAAAAAATGTATTATTTATAATTGAAAAAAAAATTACTTTTTTTAAATCTGTTGCTGTACATTCTATGAAAATGTTCTTAGTGTTAAGAGTTATTCTTGAGTGATGACCGTTAATTATGGGTGGTAGAGATAATACTGTTCCATTACAATCATAAATGACTGGATAAACACTACTATCCTTAATTATAGGCAAATACTGTTTCAATTGTGCATGGTTCTTAATTAAAAAAAAAAAACAATTTTTAAAATAATTTATAGTTTATTTTATACTTTTAATTATATACTGAATATATGTCCATCAATTTAACCGCACTATGAACTTCAGTTTGATTTAATGCTTGAAATTTAATATTTTCAGGTGGTTGTGCATCATAAGTAAATGGTCCTTTAATTGTATCTAAATCATGTGTTCCTATAGCAACTAATGATCGTTTCCTACATATATTTTGATGCAATTTGTCTTGTAAATCTATAAAACTAGCATAGCGAGCTTGATCAAAAGATATATCTCTTAACACAGCTGCAACGACAAAAGGTCTTATTTGTTTAGTCTAAAAGTATATAATGAAAAATAAAAAAATTTATTTAACTATAAATGTAGATTTAAAGTAGATACATACATTCGGTTTCACAAATACTTTTAGTGGATTTTTAGTTGTCAAAACTTGGAAACGAGGAGGTTCAACCCTAAAATTTTTTTTTAAATAAATTTTTAATTATTCATTATGTCAATGAAGACTCACTTTTTTTGGAACACTAGCAATGCATCAACTAATCCTTCTAAACACAATAAATCATAACGATTGGCTGGGATATCAATTCTATAAATAACATCATCTGATACACCTTCTGATTTTACTTCAGACTGCTCTTTAGAAATCATTTGCTTTTCAGAAGTCTATTATATGAAATAATCAAAATCTGTGATGATTATATAATTTTAAATTTTATAATATCAAAATTTATAGCTGATAATATAATATTATTATAAGAAAATAATAATTATAAATAAATAATATAAAATTGCAATACACTACGAATTTAATAATAAGTTTCAAAGTTATGGATAAATAAAGTCAATTATTTTTAACAGTAGTCGGTACAAGTTTAAATTTTCATATAAATTAGTATATTTTACCATTTATATGCACAATACAAAATATTTATTCTTTAACTTTATTTAAATTGAAAATTTATTTAATTAAACATATAAACTTATAACATATCTGAGCTACTACTATTATTTTTTTTTTATATACATTTATCAGCTTTCACGTGGATAGGGGATAAGAATACATCCACAAGCCCTCTGCCAGTCGTAAGAGGCGACTAATGAGGTTGTGTCAGGTCGACAGCTGGCGTAAAAATCTTTGTCAAAAAAGTATGTGGATTCCTGAACAAAACTAAGACGGATTGTCCCATCTCGGATGTACGCGGGGTCAACAGAAAGTAGTTAAAAACGGAGAAGGCCTAAAGAATAAAGTATTTTATACCAGCCGGACAACTTGTGAGGTAGCTGTTTCACCAGTCATGTGTACAGGTCTACCCAACGCTTCTGTTATCAACAGTGTAGGGACAACTTTTAGCTGGAATCGTGTATAAGGGAGAAAGATAGATACAAAATAAAAATAGGTACTTGGAATGTTGGAACATCAACTAGTAGAAGTAGAGAATTAGTAGAAGTATTGAAGAGGAGAAAAGTTAACATTTGTTGTGTGCAGGAAACTAAGTGGAAAGGAGAGAAATCAAGGGAAATAGGTGAGGATTATAAAATAATATACGCAGGTAAGTCTAGTACAAAGAATGGTGTAGGGATAATAATGGATGAGGAGATGAAAAGTAGAGTAGTAGAAGTAGCTAGGAAAAGTGACAGAATTATAGTCCTAAAATTAATTTTCGAGGAAAAAGTGCTGAACGTAATAAGTGCCTATGCACTACAAGTAGGATGTGATGAAATAGACAAGAAAGTAAATAATATTTAATCATGGATTTCGCAGTATCGTATGATCTTGCTGTGTTAATACTTATTTTAGGAAATTGAAAGAAGAAAATGAAAAAGAGTTTGTAAAGACGGTAAAAGAGAGGACGGTGTGGAATATCAAGGGATACTTAATGATATGTAGAATAGATTTGCTAGTTGTGTAAAGAATACTGCAAAGGAGATTGTTGGTGATAGTGGTAGAATGCCAGAAAACAAGGAAACCTGGTTGTGGGATGAGGACGTTCAATAAATCATAGAAAGTAAGAAAAAGCAATTCAAAGTATGGCAGAAGAGCAAAAGAAGCCAAGTTAAAGTTTAAGAGGTATGATAGGCTAGGTACAAAGGAAGGCGAGAAAGAAATCTATAGACTTACAAAGATAAGAGAGAAGAGGTCTAAAGATTATCATTATATAAGGTGTATAAAAAGTGTTTATAATAAGGTACTCTCGAGTGATGATGATGTGAAAAATATTGGAAAGAGTATTTTGAAAAATTATTGAATGAGGAGTACCCAAAAGAGACATTAGAGGATATCTCGTGGAATGAGGGACTGGTAGATTTAATTAGTGAGAAAGAGGTATGGGAGGCTGTGGCATCAATGAAAAAGAATAAAGCAGTAGAACCAGATGAAGTGCCAGTAAAAGTATGGAAAATATTAGGCGGTGTTGGCATAAGGCGGTTAAAGGAACTTTTAAATAAAATCTTATTAGAAGGGAAAATACCAAATAAATGGAGGAATAGTATTGTGGTGCCGATATTTAAAGGTAAAGGAGACATACAGGAGTGTAGAAATTATAGAGGCATAAAGCTTATGAGTCATAGTATGAAAATTTGGGAAAAGGTAATAGATAAGAGAATAAGAAATAAGACATCGGTATCTAAAAACCAGTTTGGATTTATGACAAGTAAGTCAACAATGGAGCCAGTATTTTGTGTGAGGAGGCAACTAATAGAAAACTAGGGAAAAGAAGAAAAATCTGTGTATGATATTTATAAATTTGGAGAAAGCGTATGATAGAGCACTGAGAGAGGTTTTAAAGTGGGCATTAATGAGAAAAGGAGTCCCGAAAAGGTACATTAATATAATAGAAGATATGTATGATAGCACTTGTACCAGGGTAAAGCATAGAAGAAGTATCAGAAGGTTTTTGGATAATAGTAGGAGTGCATCAAGGTTCTACTTTAAGCCCTTACTTATTCTCTACAATGATGGATGAAATTACTAGAGAAATACAAGGAGAGGTGCCGTGGTGCATATTGTTTACTGACGATATAATGTTAATAGAAGAAAATAGGGAGGAAATTAACCAAAGGCTAGAGGTGTGGAGATCAGTTCTTTAAAAAAAGAATTTAAGAATAAGTAAAAGTAAGACAGAGTATATAGAGTACGAGTTTGACAAAGAAGAACACGAGGTAGTGAAATGAGGAGGTCAGTGACAATAGACAAGGACGTGATTGGAGAGGTGGAAAGTTTTAAGTATTTAGGGTCAGATGTGCAAAAGAGTGGTGGTATTGACAAGGATGTAAGACATAGAATTAAGTGTGGAGAGAAGTGTCTGGCGTTTTATGCCATAAAATAATTCCAATGAGGCTGAAAGGTAAATTTTACAAGACTGTAATAAGGCCAGCTATGATGTATGATTCAGAGTGTTGGGCGGTTGATAAGAAAGTAGAGCAGAGAATGAATGTAGCAGAGATAAGAATGCTTAGATGGATGAGTGGATTGACTAGAAATGATAGAATAAGAAACGAGCATATAAGAGGGAGTATAGATGTAGTGTCAATCGTGGATAAGATGAGAGAAAATAGACATAAATGGTTTGGTCATGTTATGAGGAGAGAAGAATCAGAAGCTGTAAGAACAGTTATAGAAATAAATGTTAAAGAAAGAAGAGGTAGAGAAAAACCAAAAAAGAGATGGAGGGATGTAATTGAATGCGATATGAGGACAGCTGATGTGAGCGTATATGATATGGAAGATCGTGTCAATTATATTACATCTAGTGCACTTTTTTCAGTCTATGCCTGCTTACCTATATATTTAACAGTTGGATATTTTATAAACTGAAATAAGTTTATATTATAATAAAATATATCAATTGAATTGTACAATTACAAAGGAATAAATGTTTAAAATTGTTTTTTTCATAATTTTGCTATTTCTTCAATTAACTTATAACTAGATAACTAAAAGCAAAATTTTTAAACATACATCCTTTTGCAACTGAGCAACTCAATATGTTAGAAATATAGCATCGCAACATTAATTATACTTACTACTTCATCCAACTCTAAACCATAAGAAATGCATAAGTTATCGAACTCATCATCAGCTAAAGAATAAAAATTACATAGTTATAATTGTAATTTATGATTATTGAGGTATACATACTATAAATTTTTCCAAGAGCTTCAAAAAGTAAATCTCTTTTGATATTTATAGTGGGCATTTTAGATTAATAGAACTTATAATTACTTCTACTACTTAAATTTAAGTATACGATCAATACAAAATGATCAACCGTATATCTAATATTTAAAGTTAAGTCTGTAATATGTAACATCAGCAACTTTGTAAATGTTTTACAGTTTGGAACTTTCGAGATATCACGTGATACGTCGATTGATAAAGCATTATCTATATTTATTATCTCTAAGCTCTAGCTGATAAGAGTTACTATGTCCAATACTGCAACTTCCATGAAACAATGTATTGTCTAGAGGAAATTGAAAACATTTTGAACATTATTTTAGAATTAAAATAATTTATGACGCATAATTATTGAAATAATTATATAAATAAATTTTTGACAGTTAAAAAAAATATGTGAAAAAATTTACAGAAGTTTTTATTGATATTATTTTCTGTAAATAAAAAACTTTAAACAATTTTCTTTAAGATATATACTTAAATCATTAAATGTTAAATAATTTCAATTAAAATATTAAAACTGTACGGCATAAATTTTATACCTAGATAATTAAATGAGTATTTTTTATTTTAAGGATTTATTTAAATCTAAAAGATATAAAAAATCAACTTCCAAAAATAATTCAAAAATTATTTTATATCAACATTAAAAAAAAACACTTATAATGATGTAGTAACAATATTCTATGAACCATTCAAGAGTACATTAACTGTAGTTGTGGTTGATTTTGTTGGAGATTTTAATTCTGTAATATTAGTGTTTTCAATAACAAGTTTAGGTCGTTTGTGAGCTTTATCTTTACTAGAATGTCTCTTTTCAGACTTAACAGATTTTAATATATCGCTAACTTCAGCAACTTTATTTTTATTTTTATGTAACTTTAAGTCTTTACTACTTAGATCTACTCTTTCTAAGGTAGCTGATTTATGTTTTTTAATTTTAGTCATATTACTACTAGTACTGCTAGTATTTTCACTTTTAGATTTTTTAAGTTTATGTTCATGTTTATTTGATTTATGTTCAACATTAGTTTCAACTACTGGTGATGGTTGAGAAATTTCAATATCAGACTTTGTTTTTATGTCAGTACTATCTTTGTTTATGCCATTTATTTCAGTCTTCTGGTCACTTTCTTTTTCTCCTGTGTTATTACTATTTTGTTTATACCCTTTAATTTTTTTTAGTTCATTTTGTAGAAAATATATAGTACTTTGCATTCCTTCAACATCTTCATCCAAATCTTGCAAAAATTCATCTAGTTCTAAAATAATATAATTCTATAAATCTGTTTAATATCATTAATATTTATTAATTACCTGATTGAGATTTTTTAACTTCTTCACTAAAATTTTTTTGCAATGCTAATTCACCTTCAAGTTTAGCTATTCTTCCACTATTAACCATTTTGCCAAGTTCTTCATTTTCTTGATATAATAATCGACATTTAGCCATCAGTCTTTTCCCAGTATTACTTTAAAATAGATTCATTAAATTATTAAACAAATATTACTAATAAAATTTACTATAAAATATAGCAATTTCATAATTAATATTTAGCAAAAAAGATCATATTGTGTATAATTTTAAATTGAAGTCAAACTATCTTGAATCATCAAAAAAAATTATGCCAATCATCAGTTTATACTATTTTTTTTCAAACCTACAATTGTCAGTCACAAAAACACAGTTCATCTTAAACAAAATAAATAAAATTTAAACAAGCTATTTGACACTATTAATTGATATTAATAATTTTTTCTAAAAATCTAAATTGTATAGTTTTAAATTCAAAAATAGTTTAACATTCACACGTTCTAGTTATGATCACAAATTACATTATAAAACACCTATGTTATGCACCACTAGTACTATTTTCTACTTCCCTATAAAAACAATATTATTTTTCACATTTGATTGGAGTTTAATACAAAAATTAATTATGATTATTACCTGTCTGGTGTAAATTTCCAGGCATTTAATTCATTTTGTGTTTCATCTAACCTAGTTTTAGTGGCACTCAAGTCTTGTCGTAATTTTTGTATTAATACATTGACAGCTGGATCTTGCAAAGGACATTTTAATGAGGAAAGAGATTTACTTTGAATAGAATTTTTTAATGCTGACAACTGAGTCTAAAAAAAATTCAGTATTTATAAAATAAAATCTCAAAGCAAAATTTAGCTAAAAATTATATTATAACAGAATTTTTATTGGTACAAAACATTACAAAATATCATACTAAAATATTTTTTAATAAACTTTCTATAATTTTAAAGTACAGTAATTTTTATAAAAAACTTAAATAGTTATGAAATTAAATTTTAAAAATTGAACATGAATATATATGGTATTTAGAGCAAAAGTGGGATATGTCAACTTTTATAATTTTTCAGGAAATTAATTAAAAATTTTACAACCCCTTAAAGACTTACATAAATGTAGATTTTATAAATGTATTTATACATTTATTTTAAGATTTTATACACAATTTTATTGCTATCGTTGATACCAAAGAAAATGTTAAGTTTGAAATTTTTGTTATCTAGTCACACTCTTTTTATTTAATAATTGAATTATACCATTTTCACTATAACTCCCACATATGTGTTAAAATACATTCTAAATTATACAAGTAAACAGGTTCATATTTTAAAATTTGCTTAAAATATAATAAATAAAAAATTTAATTAGGCTCTTATGAAAAAATAAAGAAAAAGATAGATGTACTAAGTCAACAAAATTCTAGGTCCTTAATCAAATTATTTTTTAAATTATACTTAAGAATGTTACATAAATATTGAAACAATTAGTTGTGACTTTTAATTAATAAACTTACTGAATAATCTTGAATCTCTTGTTCTTTGATAGCTAATTTTCTTAATAAAACTTTTTCACGTAATACAAGTTCTCGAAAAGCTTGATCATTTTGTTCTTTCTTGTCACACCTATTGCTACATCTACTACATATAGTAGCTGTAAAAGTAAATACGCAAGTAACATTATTTAATTAATATTAATTTAGCAACATTATAAATTAATATTACTAGAAATGACAATCACAAAAATATTTACTTACAAAATTTTTATTCCCATTAAAATAAAAAATATTGACCTACCTTAAATACGTTAAAACTCTTTAAGTCTGAAGAAAAACACTTACAGGCATAGTAATTTTCAACGGGTTTTACTAATTATTATTTATCTTTTTTATTATTTTATTGAACACTTTTTTAAAATTTAGTATAAGAAAATGTTTTGATTTCAATTCGCATTGAATATAGTACCTTCATTTGCTTTTGCCTCTAAAACCCGAACGCGCGACATAGCGTTTTTATACATATCGACAATTCGCTGTCGTGGTAGTCGAACCATGTTGTCATCGTCAATATTATCCATTTGTCCAAACCCTGTTCGACATTCCTCAACCATTTTATCGCACAATTTAGTAATTAATTTTAGAAACACTTGTAAAAACAAATAGAATACTATGAAGTCGTTAAAAACTCCTCAAGTATATTTACAAATTAAAAAGCGCATATTTACTAATGTAATAAAATTTAAAACATAAATTAACTTCAAATTTTACATTGACTCAGATTTAACAAAAATTTTCTAAACTGTAGAAAATTTAATTAATATAATAATTGGTTCCATTAATGTTTCCCAGAAAAATTATATATTCTCTATAGAATAAATTGTTTTGAAAACAATAATCAAAACAAGATTAGCACAAATTTATATTTAGAGGTTGGTACTATTTACTATTGGTACCAATTAATGTATTTCTCATATAGATATTCTTATCAAATGTAAAAGCACTAGAAATGTTTTCTATAATTTTTTTTTGTTAAGTTGGAAGTATCAGACAAAAATTATAGCTTTATGAAAATATAATCTATAATATTAGAAAATTTTGTCAGTGAACAATTTAGATAAATTTTTATCTTAGTTCGTGTTGTCAAAACTAAATGATTTTCAAATTTTCTTTAAGTCTTTGAAAATTCCATATTTTTAATTTTAATTTAAAATTAATATACTCGAAATTTCTCTAATTTTTCGAGATTTATAAAAAACTAGTCATTCAGTCAAAACTTTGGGAGTGCTAAGATTAATCATTCCTAAGTGACCATAAGACACCTATGGATTTAGATCTAAGGTTATTCTAAAAAATACATTTCATTTATAATAACAATTAAACCTATTAATAAAATTAAAAGTAATATCTATCTTATTTTTCCTCGCCTCAATCCGAAATATTTGGGGTCGGCCACCCTTATCCTAAACTTCCACTTGACACGATCACCCACATCAGCCGTCCTCTTAACGCATTCAATTACATCCCTCGATCTCTTTTTTTGGTCTTCTTCTACCTCTTCTTCCTTCAACATTGATTTCTATAACTGTTCTTACAGCTTGCGATTTTTCTCCTCATAACATGACCAAACCATTTAAGTCCATTTTCTTTCATCTTATCAACAATTGAAGCTACACCTATACTTCCTCATATATGTTTGTTCCTTATCCTATCTTCTTTAGTCATTCCACTCATCCATCTAAACATTCTCATCTCTGCTACACTAATTTTCTGCTCTATTTTCTTATTAACTGCCCAACACTCTGAACAGACTTATAGAATTTACCTCTCATTCATTGGAATTATTTTATCGCATAAAACCAGGTGTCAGGTAGTGCTTTTATACTCTCAGATAAATACAATACAGTTGTTATAATATAGATGTTTCATAGTAGTCATTTAACGCTAAACACTGACAACTCTGTGTACTTTTAAAATAATATCAACCTTTTTGTACACTGTAAAGTATACAAAACATTTACACACTTATTATACCTATTCATAATTTAAAGATCTTAATAATCTTTACTAAAGGAATAAAATTTCTAATTCTAATGAAATAAATAACACATCTGTAAATAGTAAATTAATGAAAATATATTTTATCTAAAAATAATGTTCATAAAAAATTTGTTATTTTTTTTACAACAACAAACGAACCGCTTTCATCTTAAAGCTTTAACGATACAAATAGGTTTCTTTTTGTAAGGATCTAAGTAGAAAAAATATATATTTTTTTGATTATTGGTTATACTTAATTGATACTTACAATATCGTCCATCTATCAGGAACATTTTTTTATTCATTGCCTTTTCATAGAGCCCCTTTATTTCTATTTTATTTATTAATGTGTCTAAATTATGAATAATTCATAAAAAATATTATTTTTTTAATATCTGTGTTCGTTATTTTATATGTTATACTTACTAGAAACCATTTCTTCTAAGGAAGATGCTTCGTATTCAGTGTAATACTCTTGATCATCTTCAGCTAAAGTAGAATAAAATATATATATATATTATATAATATTTATATATATATTTTTCGTACAAAAATAAGAGTTTTTTTCTGTATTATAATTAAGTAAAACAAAGTACTTTCAAGTAGGTTTAGTTTTAATGTTTTTCAATATAAACAGGAACTCTTTGTTCGTCATCCCCATAGTTGTATATTACATACATCAATTAAACACGTATGTAACAGGGTACAAAACGTTGAACCGGTTATATAGTAAAGAATAAAAAGCGTAGGCGCGAAAAACGATCATATTTTCTCTTAAAATGCATACGACAGTGATCATTACTTTACAATGACATCTTTGATTTTGGAAATATGCTTACCTAAGCGTTTGGTAAACGATGATAGCAATTGTTCTCATAAATATATTTATCATAATCTCAATTTAGAGTTTAATTTTAGCACCACATTTGGCTACACCTTTTCCCAACCCGATCGTTTAACAATATATGCGATTTAGCAATGGGTCAGTGGAGTAAGCTTTTGCGTATGTAGGTGCATCACATCAAACACGCGAACTAAACGCGTACTATACGCACGTTCAAGGATTAACGCGTACCTACCCTGGAAAATAAATTTTTATTTTTCTGCATAATAATCGATTTATCACATACAGTCTATAGGCGTGATGCAAGTTGTGTCAGTTTACAAAGGATTTACCTAGAGTAGTCCTCACGACTAGTTATTGACGAGTGTATAATTTTTTGGAGAAAAGCTCGTATTCCTACTCATTATCTCTCTGATTGCGTAGAAAAATGAAAAACTTACATGAAGACTGTAAGAAATTGAAAAAAAAAAACAAATTTAGAAAAACTGATGTGCAAAGGAGACATGAAAAAAATTTGAAGACCAATTAGATAATCTATTTGACATAGTTCATGCCTACTTATGTAAAATTGTTAAAATTGAAGAAGATTTTTAATTTTTATTAAAACAACAAGAAAAAGGTTGTCCTGGTTGTATGCTCGGGACAATAATATATTTTTCAACAAAAACATATAAATATATGTTTTTAGATAAAGTCCCATCGTTATCTTATCTTCGTTCTAATGATGAGGCAATAGGTTTCCACCCCCGTATATGCTATAAGGACTGTAATTATTTAGTGTTAGAGTTTAAAAAATGCTGTAAGAGTGGTTTATATTTATAGCACATATTTCAATGTCAATAAAACATTTTTTATAAAAGAATGAAAAGAATTATTTGAGGAATCGGTCAAAAAATTTATTGTTGTATAGTTAAAGGAAACCACCGGTTTCTTGGTAAATCTATTCGTCCTTGATGATCACTATGATTTACGATGCTCTGGATAACTTATAAAAGCCACAGATATAGATAATAATATATATCTAATAAATATATATAATTTATAGCTGTGATAAAAGCTTAAACTAAACTCAACTTGTATGATAACATATATCACTTTAGGTATAGAGCCTTTAGCAAATGTCCCAAACACCAGTCACACTGGCATTATTGACGTTTTTGCACAATGAATTAACATTTTTCATCGGGAATACAATGAACCATCATTAGTTGGAATGATTCCAGCTATAATTATTATAAAGCGATTTAGGATTTACCTCATTAGTGTTTCGATAAACATTTATCTACAGTTAAAATATGCATTCGCTAATATTTAAACCATGGTTGAAACACTCCATAATTAGATAACCGAAGTTGATATCTTCCAATCAGTATTCATCCTAATGCTATTTGTACAAGCTGATAAAAGAAATCGACTCGTAATATTCATTTATCGTCAAATCAACTTTCTCAATCGTTTTAAATCAACGTTATTCCGTATACTCATGTAAGTAAACTTTAAATCAATCCAAAATTTTGTTTATATTCTTTTACTATCCATCATTGCATGAACTTTTGTTATAATTAAATACTTTTATATTTTTTGTTGCGAGTCATTTATCTATTATTTAATAGAACTAACGTTTAATTTTAGAATGGCAGGACACGAAGGAGATCCCGCTGAAATTGCAAAATTAACTGGACTGTCCAAATATTTCAATTCAATCACTACCAGGGGACGTGTTAATGTAAACATTAATTTTAAATATCATATAATTAAGACTCAATGACAATTCAAGGTCAATTATATTGTGGTCTGATTTAGTAATTAACATCTTTTATTTTACAAAAATTTGGTTTAGATTATCGCGAAATTCAAAAGTTTATTAGTTTACATTGTAAATTATAACTACAAAAACTCTTAGTTCATCACAAGAGAAGATTAGTTAAAAGTTTAATAATACTTTTGATACTTCACACTCATTCTTCTTCTTCACCTTAATCCCAACTACTTGGAGTCAGCTATCCTTATCCTAAACTCCTACATCATCTATGCTCACATCAGCCGTCCTCTTAACGCATTTAATTACATCCCTCCATCTCTTTTTTAGTCTTCCTCTACCTTTTCTTCCTTCAACATTAATTTCTATAATTGTTCTTACCGCTTCCGTTATACCCATTAGTTATGAAAACCTATATCTATATGATTATTAAAATTTTAGATATATATTTTCCATTTTTCTCACACTTAACTAATTATCATGATATATATATATGAAAAATTTTGTCTTAATTAACTTAAGATTTTTTTATCTTATTTATCTAATTTTTTTTAGATCGTAGCTGCTACCTATGGAAGTATTGCAGTTGGATATTTATTGTATAAAATGGGTGGTTCAAAGGATGCCAAACCACCAAAATCTTCTTAAATGATTATTTATATGTATAGTTATAAATTAGTTTTTAAGATACGTGTTATAAATATTACCTAAAAATTGGTTTCAAAATTTTATTGTTTATAGTCCAATATTAAATGAAATGCTGATATTCATACACAATGCTTAACACATGTTTTTACTATGTGTATTTTATTCCAAGCAATTTATATTCAATAATAATGTAAAATAAAAAAATATAAAAATAATATTAGCGTTCTTCCATCTGCTTATCTCTAGCTATAACATGATCTTCAAACTTAACCATATATGTTGTACCTTTGTGCCAATGTGCTGTCACTTTAGCATTCTAAAAATACAAAAGTGATATAAATGAACAAAAAATATTTGTATATGTTAAATACAATAATATATATTAAAATTTTTTATTACTTTATATAACTTAAAATAGTATAGTAAATTTACAACATGAATAAGAATGTGTGGGTAGATAAAATAAGTTTGGATTTCTACATTGATTTATCAGTATTTAAAAAATAACTAGGAATACCTAATTAAGATGAACTAATGATTTTTCATTTTTAGTGAAATATTATAGGGCATTAGTTTAATGCCCTATAATAAATAATATATCACAAGCTAAGGAGATTAAAAAAATTAAAGGAAATATGTAGGACCAGATTAATAAGTATTAAGTTAAGGAGTAGAAGATCCAAGAGGACTACTTTGAATTAATATCTGCCCAGGTAAAGAAATGATATGTAAAAAAAAAGTGTCATTTGTTTATTTTATGTTAATTTTACTCATAAAACTGAAGACAAGTCCCTTTAGTTAAAATCTAGAGTTGTGTAGTTGGTCGTATATAATAAATGCAAATTTGAAAATTAATCAAAAATGACTTATAAATTATATTAATTCTAAAAACATAGAATTTTTATGAATCATTTTGTACAACTTCCATCAAAATTTTTGTATTTAATAAAAATTAAGAAAATTTTATAATTTTTTTTATTTTGAATTGTTAGATCAAATTGGTTAAAATATGTTGACTTTATTTTTCAAGTATTTTGAGAGAAATGGTAAAAACAAAAATATTGAATTTAATCTGCATTATTTAATACTCACAAAGCCAGATGAATTTAAAATCCCTTCAATTATTCCACCAATAAATATAGCACAATTTAGATTTCCTTTATCTTTAGGGACAGATATATACTTGTTTACTAAAGGTTCTTTTTCAATTATATAATATGTAGAATCATCTTCATTAGAGTGTTCCAATTTGTCAGCTTCACGACCAAAGAAACTCTACAATTTTAAATGAATAATACTTATAATAATTTTTAGAAAAAATGCTTACTTTCCAAAATGTAGACTTGATGAGAAGCAACATGTTTAGTAATTTAATCTCTCGTTTACTATTTTTTTCCCGTAAAAAATGTAAGTCAATTAATTTAGTCCCTATTTCTTGTCCTAAATCTGATAACCTATTAACATATATATAGAAATATAAATTCATAAATGGACAAATATAAAGCTCCTACCTATTCTGAAGCTCAGTTACAGTATGTGCTTTTCCTTGACTATATTGAACTAGTTCCGAAAACAGTAGAGCAAAACAATTCATATTAATTTCACCTTTGCCTTTACTAATAGATTTATCTAATATACTAGTTTTTTGTCGCATATTAGAAATTTGAATTGTATTCATTTTTTAATAAACTGAGATAGTTTTAATTATTAACTAATTTTATTTTTGATAAATTATAAAATTAAACAATTTAAAACATTCATTTACTTAAATTGACAACATTATTTTGTTTAAATAAAAAATTTAATCTATTTTATAAAAAATTTGTATGACTAGTAACAAAGAGAAATTATAAACTTTTACAATTTAATTATACTAACTGTAAAATATTATATAATCTTAAAAGGACTCCACTCGAAAAATCGTACTTATATGTTTCTGAACAGGAAAATTCCAGTGCGTTCCATCAAGTACAGTGTACAGTATTTAGTTTATCACACATAACTGATAACGATTGATAGTCGTAAATCCACATAATTAATTTAAATATATTGTTACGAACCCCAATAAAAAAAACTTTCATATAAAACCAAGTTTCAACATTCTCTCTCTCAAAAAAAATCCGCCTATCAAATGATTTTTGCATAGGAATGGATGAAAAACCTTTACGATAAAAATTATCATAGGGGCATAGCCTCTGACCTTTTTTATTTGTACTACTATGTCAAGATATAATTATGGACTATTAGATATTTCATATATAATCAAAAAAAATTGAGTCAAACAAGTTGATTATTAAAACTAAAAATATCCGTTGATCTAGAAACTTTGAAAAAGATTTTTCATAGAGGGTACAGCCAGAAAAATATCCAAAATTTTTATTTAGATCTTTTTTTTAACATTACTTTATTTTGGAATGGACCCTGTCACCCCTGGCTAAGCAACTACGTTAATCAGTGACTATGATTGAAGCCTTTAAAAAAATGAATTGTATTGTGAAATCAATATTTCAAAAACATTTTTTAATTTATGAAACTAAATAATTCTATGTTATATGTTAGTACCACAAACTATATGAAAATTAGTTTTTTCATTTAGTTTGTTACATGACAAAATATATCTATTTTGTCATGGTTTGTTAGTACCATAGTTAACTATTTTGTGACGTCCTGCGTATCATGTACGAATTTATTATAATATGCACAGATACCATAGGGATTGTCCTGTTGAATATCAATTGAAAAAAACGTTAAATAGAAGTAACAGATGTTAGTAAAATATGATAACGGAACGAAATGACCATGGGAAATACAACACATAAAAGATTACGGCTATTGGCGCGCAGCGACGCATATATGTTTACACTAAAACATAAACCTTTTGGACCTTCTATTAGCTTTGTGACATTAATTTTGGACATTTATATTTACGTAAACGTTTTTTTATCTCATGCTGTTTGCTGATTTATAATTTAAAATAATATAGATGACTATGTTTCAAAGTTTTTGTCTTTATTGTAACTCGTTCACCTTTATAAAGTTTATAGTGAATCTTTGTGAAAAATGGTAAAATGGTCAGATCAAGGTTTCTCGGCAAACCGCCCAAAACACGAACAAAAAGGGCTATGGTTCTTGCTGGGGTGTCCAAATTCGTCGATAATGATTTTAAAACTGCTCAACTGATATCATTATCTTTGGACGTGTTTCGAACAACATATGAAAGCAACTATGAAGAGGTAGTAAATTAAGTAATTTTATATGTAATTTCAAAATTATAGTTATGTATTATGTCTTCTATTTTATAGAAATCACAAGAGTTTAAAGGTTTTAACGATTGTAGTGAAGCTGCTCATAATTTAGAGGAAAAAAAAAAGGAAATGAAAGAAATATGTCGTCAAAGAGGTATTCCTTATGAAGAATCACACCAAAAATTTTCTAATATTTTAGTAAGAATGAAGTACAAAGTTAAAAACTATAAAATCCATGATAATATTTTTTCATAAAATATAATCAAATTTCATATTATTTAAGGAATTTAAATTTTTCTTTATTTTAGCAAAATCCTAATTTTTCAAGCAGTATGACATGTCATAATTTAAAAAATTCTCAAGTGAATTTACCACAATCATTAAATAAATCAATAAGTTTGGATTCTGTAGAAGTTATTTACTTAGATGATGATCTTAATTATACATATGCAAAATCGTGCAAAGGAGGTATTGTAATGAATTGTTTTGCTTGAAATTTCCTATTAAAAGTTCTTAACATACATCTCTTAATAAATACGTTAAAATTTTTAGATCATTTTCTGTTAGTATGTAAGTAATAAAAATTATGTAAAGTAATGTAATTAAAATTGAATCTATAAACATCTAGAAATGTATCAATTTTAAATAATCTTATATACATTATATCAAACATATTTATAGCAAGATAGGTTACAGTTTATAATTTATAACTTTTCTTTTTCTGCAATATATATTAAACAGTCTTGTAGAAATATAATTGATTTTACTTTTGAAAGAAAATTCAACCAAAAAAATATGTGTAACTTTATATTAAAATCTTAATTTAATAATATTTGAAATAATTATGCTTATATTAATTTTTTAGGTCCTTTAAAATCAAACCTTTCAAGTGGTGAAGTACAATGTGGTATTTGTGGTATTATTCGTTTTTACAAGATAATAGCCAAAACAAAGAAATATGGAGCTTACAGTTGTGATTCATGTCGAAAATTTATGATAAGATCCATTGAAAATACTAAATTAATTTATCGATGCAATAATGAAAAAGGTAAAATAAATTTTTTCATTTAAAACAGTTTTTGTTTATTTTGTTCATCAGTGGTATATAAATGCTTATATAATGTATTTGTTCCTGCTGCTCTTTAAAAGTTGGCGACAGTTGTATTAATAAATCAAGAATTTAAAGATTTATTGGTAAACCTATAATTGATATCTTAATAACAAAATACAATATAAAAGCAACTAATCGATACTTTTTGTATACATAAGAATACACAACATACATTAGCTTAAATAAGCGGTTAAGCAATTGTAGAAGTAATCATAAATATCTGTGTAATAACAAAACCAAAATCCACATAAATGATCATTTAACTTGTATGGATGTTATCCAAACTAATAACATTTACTCAAACCAATCATAATAAGCTATGTTATCAAACGGGATAAGGGTTTGCCAACAGATTTAGGGTAACATCTAAACAATGAGTATTTCAAAATTAGTTTCAATTCATTCTTTAAAAAAGTTTGATTAGTGATAGTTTACCTTTGGTTTACTGAATTATAGTACATTTTTTGTTATATAACTAACTGCAATTAAGTTCTTTAAATTTATTTTTTAGGTATAATTAATTAATTAGTAATATTTTTCTAGGTGTTGGTCAATGTAATATTCCAACTGGGTTAAAATCTAAGAATAAAATATCACGAGTTTTATCAATTGATGCTCGTTGTAAAGCATGTTGGCTTCAAATGTGTTTAAAAAGACTTAAGTTACCAGAAACTATCATTGAACGACTGATTGATAAACTTCCTAGAGAAATAGTGGCAATTGTGTCATGGGCCTTAAAGAAACCTGATCCTTGGACTATAAATATAGATGATAATTTAAGAAAAAAAATCATTCATGATTATAATCTCCATAGAGAAATTATTAATGCTATCCATGGTATTAAATTTATATGAAGTATTTTAAGTAAATTTTTCTTAAGTCTATTTTAATTTTTCAGATGATAGTGATGATAATTTGGATGAAGTTAATAATTGTGACAGTGATAATATTGATAGTTCTTCAATAAAATCTAATTCTGATAGTGAGTACATCACTAAAAGGAAATGTACTAAAAATATATCCAAAGTAGAAAAAATTAAAATTATTAAAAAAAAAATTAAAAGACATAAAAAAATAAAACTATCAAGAGATATCCAGTCTAATGATGTTAAAAAAATTGTATTATCGCGTTCAACTAGCATGTCATCAAATTCAACTAATGGTATGAGCAAATTTAATTTTAAGTTTCTAAGAAGTAAAATTTTGTTAAAATTACCTAATTTTTTCATATATTTCATTTAAATAGTAAGTTACTACTGCATCATAACTATTCACACAAGAACTTTAGAATAATATTGAGTCTTGAAAATGAAGTTCCCCTGATATTCATAACTTTAATGGACTAGATGATATTAACTATCTAAATATATAATTTTTTTTTAAATAAAAAAAGTAAAGAGTAGAGTAGAGTTTCTCTTTATTTTTCTCAAAGTAAAGAGAAAAAATTATTTTGTAATACAAAATTTTACTAAAAGTATAATAAAAAAAAAAAAAGTAATATTTTTGTTTAAGTTGCAACAGTATGTATTTCAAAAAAACATTAAACCAATTTACAAAGAAAAATTTAAGTAAAATTGTTTAGCTTCGATTCGAAGCTTAGAAGTTATTGGTTTTATTATGATGTGTTTTTTTTTTTTTTTTTTTTTTACCACTTTTTCTCAGCTCTCACTTAACCGATTTACCGATATACATCTTTCATTCGACATACTTATTTTTTTAATTAGACCATTTCCCTATATAAGGGGAGGGTTCAAATCTGAATAATGCATATAGAAAGTAGAACTCTTTCAACTTAACTTTTGAAATTATTCCGGAAAGTCTGACACTTTTATAGATATCTTAAATTAAAGCTAATGTAATGTTTTTTATAATGGAAAAAAAAATTTTAGACTTTATTTAGTCTTCACAGTGAAAACAGACATCAAAGTTAATAAAAAAAATACAATTTTTGTAAAAAAATTCTTTTTTATATTTTTAACTTTATAATGCTATAACTTCTTGAAAAATTAATGGATCAATATATATATTTTTTTTAGATGCATGATGTCTTTACCTATCATTTGGTATATTTTTTTTATAAATCTGCCCCTTTACCTGCCTAGGAGGGTTCTAAATGACAGCTTTTTCACAAAAAATTTAATTTTGAAAGTGTTTTGGAAAGTCTGACACTTTTATATATATCTTAAATTAAAGCTAATGTAATGTTTTTTATTATGGAAAAAAAAAATTTCAGACTTTAATTTGTCTTCACGGTGAAAATGGCTACCAAATGCTATATTTGTGTGAAAATTCTCGATTATATATTTTTTACTTTAAAATGCTATAACTTCTTAAAAAATGTATGGATCAACACAATTTTTTTATGAGAAATAATATTTATATCCCTTTTTCATTTGACATACTTTATCTTAATTAGGATATAAATAAAGAAATAGCAGATCATGTAGCATTAGGTATAATCCATCAATTTTTTAAAATTAAACACTATCTAAAGATTTGCATCAAAGTGTTTTTTATGATAGTGATTTGAATTACTGTTAGATATCATTATACTTGATCCAACTATGCCATATCACTTCTATGCCGCAACCCCCCTGTGCTGGGTTTTTTAATTTTATGTTTCACTTTTGAACTAAACCGAATACTTCAAGCTTGGTTTATTTAGTTTTGAATATCACTACTAATATTATATGAAAATTCATTATGTGTAATGTTTTTAATAGTTCATTATTCATATAAAGTTTAAACCAATAGAGTCAAGTCAATGCAGAAAGATACAAAAATACAAATATTATTAGAATAATAACTTATTTTTCTATATTTATTAGAAGTAGAAATTTAAAGTTTAGTTTATAACCTAATATTGTATTGTATTACATTTACATTTTATAAATTGTTACAGAAACAAAAACTATTACTGTTAAAGGACCCAGAATTAAACATGTTTGTCGTAGTGCAGAATTAGCTTTAAAGCAAGCACCAGCAGTTTTTAGCAATATGTCCGAACTAGTAGATGATTTTAATGAGTTTAGAAGTATTATATAATATTTATTTTTTGTATTATTTCAAAATCTATAATTAATCTTTGAATGATTTATTGCATTTTATAGATCCATCTATAGACTCCCTTTCTAACCAACAAAATGAAGTTAATGGTGATTATTTGACTAAAGATATAAGGTAGGAGTTAAAGTTTTTAATCAATAAAAATAAATTTAAATTTTTTTTATAATTTCAATTTTAGAAATGAAAAATTGTCAGCTATACCAAATAACATTAAATGTTCAATAACTGGTGATATTTATCAAGACACTTATTCCTCTTTTCATGTGAATGTGAGTATAATTAGAAAGATTTAAATTTTAATTTGAATGCCTTTTAAATTAACAAAGAACATATTATTGTATAATGTAAAAATTTAATTAATCCTGCAGAGAACTCTTCAAGATTTAATGATGCAAGATCAATCAAATGCTAATAATGATAATAATGAAGATAATAAAGCTATTGACTTAAATTTTAGAGAAAGTTATGATCCTGATCGTATTGCTGAAAATGGATTTGCAGTTGTTAGTACAGAACCATTATCAGTCCCACGACTTGCTATTTGTTATCTTTGTGGTAGTGCTGGAATGGAAAAAGTATATATAATAAAATAGTTCATATATTTGTACATGTTTACAAAGTGTCTCAGATCTAACTGATAACACATATATTTTAATTCAATTAACATTTTGTTAATATTTTTTTTTTTTATTAACTATTGTCATCTTCAACTAAATTTAAAGTATATTTTTGATTATTATCTCCAACAACAAAAGTTGAAATTTTATTTTTCTTCAAAATTTCAAAATAGCTATTATTTAGTCTTATTCTTACAAAAAACTTGTTTACATTCTATAAACACAATATACAAAATGTTCAGTAAGTAAGGAGACATATCAATTGTTATAAACAATAAGAACAAAAGAAACCTGTTTTCTTACTTACTGAACACCCTATATATTAAAATGTTAACAACTTAGTAAGTTAAAAATTATATTACATTTTTTTTTCCTTATTAGACATAAATAATTAAAAGTTTACTCTAAATGTATCTAAAAAGAAAAGAATAATTTAAAAAAAAATGTTTTGATAAAATGATAATTTGAACAATAGTTATGAGCAGTTAGTTCAGTTACTCAGCTAGTTCTGAGATATCTGTATGTTCAAATACAAAAATTAAATATTTTTTTTAGCTAATCCATTGTGTTACCTGCTGCGAACCTTATCATAAATTTTGTGTAGATGGAGTTGGAATTGGAATATCTTCACATGAAAGTGAATGGTCTAAAATTAGTTGGACGTGTCCTAAATGCAAGGTAATACAAGAATGCTTTATTACAGTAAAGTTTAAGTATGTACTACAGGAATCTTTTTAAAGTTCCTAGTCAGGGCTGTGAATTATATACTTTAATAAATTTTATTTGAAGCACTTTGAAGGGTCTTGATTTTGTATAACTAGAATTATGCTGTAATGCAGAAATGCTTTATAAATTAGATTATTATGTGTTATGGGTAATTTAACAAAAATTTTCTATTTTCTATTTAATCTATTAAGTCAAAAAAATTTTCCTAGTTATATAATACATACTAAGATTTAAACCAATTTTTTAGATTACACTTTATTCTGAATTTCTATATAGATTATATTTATATTTAATTTTTTCTAACACCATGGATAGTTTTATGATTTTTCATACATTTAATATTCAATAGTAATAATTACAAATATTACAAATATTGTAATATTTATATTTGTTAGAAAATTAAAACAAATTACAAAGGTAACAATATTTTACTTATAGCTTGTAATAACATTTTAATTGTTTTTATGTATTCTTAAAGTATTTAATTATTTATTTAATTTATCAGTTATGCAAACAATGTAATAGTAGAGGCAAAACAAGACCAAAGTTAACTTGTCAAAGATGTAAAGATTCTTATCATGATTACTGTTTAACAGATAAATTAACTTATGACCGAAATAGACCTTGGGTAAGTTATTAAGTACTATATTTATAAGTGATATATTTCAAATAAATTATATTCATGTGTTTTAAAGGCATGTCCACCTTGTAGAACTTGTAAAAGTTGTCATCTACCCAAAGTTGATTACTTTGTTGGTAACTTAGCACTCTGTACTGAATGTTATCAATTAAGACAACATGGTAACTACTGTCCTTTATGTCAACAGTGTTATGATTCTGATGATTATGATTCAAAAGTAATAAAATAAATAAGTGTTTTTAACATTCAATGTCTATTATTTTAATAATTTATTTATAGATGATGGAGTGTGCTACTTGCAAACATTGGGTTCATTCTAAATGTGAAGGTTTATCAAATGAAAAATATGAAGTTTTGAGTGTTTTACCTGATAGTGTTGAATACATTTGCAAGTAAGCATTGAAATATTTTGTTGTACTAAAAAAATAATTACTATTATTAGCTGAGAAGTTATTTTTTAATTAATATTGTTTAATTTATTACTATTACATTTTATATTTATATAGTGAAATTACTATATATCTGATACTTAGGGATAATTTAAAAATGTACTGCTATCAGGAATAGCCCTTAATATTTAATTATATAACTAAACATACAACAAAACTTTAATTTTTATTATTTAAATTAAAATTTATGATTTTAACATCTAAAAGTTAGATTTATATATAAAACAATGTAATGTTCCTATGAATTAAAAATATTTATAAATAACTTATAAAATAAATAAATAGTTACAAAATTACTAATTAACTTGTTATTTAATAATAATTAAAAAATTAATTTAACATTTTATTAGTTGTTCAATTACTTGATTCCATAAAACTTATTTTGATAATAAAATTGTTTATTTTTAGGAATTGTACTACTAACAGTACTATACCGTGGCGATCATATGTTGATGAAGCCTTTAAAAGTGGTTTTAAATCTATACTTTTGTCACTAGGAAAAAATAAAAAAACTTGTGATTTGATTAAGTGGAGCCCACAAAAACAATCACCTGGATGTGTTTGTAAAAAAACATATATTCCACCATTTCCATCATTTGATAAAGTTACTTTGAATGATTTACCAAAAAATCAAATAGAAGAACCTCCTAAACAATGTGTTTGTCATGGTTTGGAAGGTTGGTCTAAAGGCACTCCAACATTAGTATCAATAAAACAAAAAGTTAATAATAATGAGTATGAATCATTGTATCAATTCAATAAAGATATGTTAAATACTATAAATAAGTTTAATGCACCAGAACTTAAAGAAGAATATACTAAAATCATTTCTACAGTTTTTCCTTGGTTTAATGGTGATTTCCTAAATAGTTCACCATGCAAAAATGTTTACTCTCCATCGACATCAACAATTATAAGCCCGCCAAAATTTATTCCTAAAATGTCATTTAACTTGCTTAATTCTGATATAAAAGCTTTGCAAGATATGATGGGCAATGATGAAAATAGTTATTATATTAGTCCAAAAATACAAGACAAAAGAGAATGCCAGTTTTGTAAAAAAGTGGGAGAAGGATTATCAGTTCGAGAAGGTAGACTTTTATATTGTGGCGACAATATATGGGCTCATGCCAACTGTGCATTATGGTCATCAGAAGTTTTTGAAGAGATTGATGGTTCTCTTCAAAATGTCCAATTAGCCTTATCCAGAAGTAAATTAGTTCGTTGTGTAGTATGTAATGAAAAAGGGGCTAGTATAGGATGTTGTTACCGAAATTGTGTGAAAACGTATCACTTTCAATGTGCAAGAAAACTATTTTGTTTGTTCAATGAAAATAAAACTGTTTATTGTAATAATCACGCTTCTAATGTTCGAAGTAGTGTTAAAGATTTTACTTTAGATAGATTAATATATATAGAACAAGAAGATATAAAACGAAAAAAAAAAGGAAGTTCAGATGTTTATATTCTAATTGGCTCATTGTATATCAGTTGCATTGGACATTTGCATCCAATATTATCAGATACTATTGAGTCTATAATTCCTATAGATTTTAAAGCAAAAAGATATTATTGGTCTACAAAAGAGCCATGGAAACTAATTCAATATGATTGGACTACTAAGGTTGAAAATATAGTTAAAAAATTAAAGCATGATGAATTAAATTACACTATTGATCATAATCAAGATAATATAATCAGTATAGAAAAAACAATAAAAAAAGACATTGATTACAATTTATATAAACCTATGCAGTTAAATAATTTAGATGAATGTTATGAAACCTTAAAAAAGATATGCCCTATTGATTATAGTACTACCAAACGTTTAAAAATTGAAAATTTCGATAAATATAATTATTCTAATTATGAAACTAACTCTGAATTTAAATCCACAATTGATGAAACATGTAAAATGGAAAAATTTTCGAATATTAATGGTTTCGAAAGTAAACCTATACCACAAATAGATGGGTTGTATGATTCTAGTGATTGTGAATCAGAATTTGAATTGTGTAATATAAAAAAAAATTCTGATGTTATTGATGATTGTACAAATGATCAACCTGTCAAATGTGAGAGATGTCACCGAACATATAGGACTAGTTTGAGCTTTGAACGTCATCTTATAAGTTGCAATTTTGACTATGGACTTGGAAGTGATAGTGATTCAAGCGAGGATGAAAAATCTGATATTAAAGTTGAAATTAATCAATTTGAAGTTGAAAACAAAATCTTATATGCTGAACCTATAAAAGAAGAATCTAATTTAGTACATCAACAAAATTACATCCCTATCACACAAATTCCATCACAGCAACAACCACTTACACATTCACCCACTCTTATTATTCAACCAATCTCGTCATATGTTCAAACTCCAGCAACTGATGTTCAATATATAACAATAAATAATACTCAACCTCAGTCAGTGATGCCATGCTTTCAATATCAGACACCACCTACAGTTATTGTTCAACCATCTGTTGTCGATCCTACAACTGTTTTACTTAACAATCCTCCAGTTGATATGTTCATGTCCCAAAGTAATAACTTATTATTTAGCTCTCAACCTATGATTGTAGGATTAGACCAAACATACACTATGGCTTCAGGTTATACTTTTACACAATCACCACAAATTTATCAATCACCAAAACCTGTAGAAGTTAATACCACACATGTGTCAAATCAGATTTATATACTGAATTCTGAACCCACCTCAGTATCAAATGAATGGTCTTATAGCATTACATCTGACATTAAAACTGAGCATAAAGTAGTTTGTACAACTCAACCTAAAGTCTATTCAAATCGAAAACTAAAGCCAACTGAATGTTATGACTCCAAAGAAAATATTCCCAATAGACTTGTTCAATCTGTAGAAAACCAAGTATATGGGGTTATGAATATAATAAATAATATTAACCCTGAACCATGGAAAAAACAAACTATGAGAACTTATCCTCCTAAAAGAAATGAGTTTAAAATATGTTCTTCTAAAACTGTAGAGAAAAAAAAAATTCTTCCAAAAACTAATGGTTTTTATTTAAATAAGTCTACAACTGCAATAAATGCAACATCTGTACCAACCAAAATTGATAATATTTCTGATATTGAACATAATATTGTATCGACAAAACCGCATAAGGTTTTTCAACATTCTGATGTAATAATAACAAATTCTTTTACTAAAATTGAAAATAAATCAATTCCTATTACCAACACTGTAAAAATATTACCTGAGAGAAACTTGGAAGAAGTAATTTCACCTAGCTGTAAGATGAATGAAGAAATTGTTTTTACAGTAAAAGAAGAGAAAAAATTGCCTTTTAAAATAGAGAAATTAAAAGAAGAGTCTCTAAAAATAATCCAAAATTGTTTAACATCTCAAATAGAAAAAGAAACATCACTTTCTGATTCGCCTCCTCTTAAAAAAGAAAAATTGTCATGTAATGAATTGACAATAACATCACTGAATAGTGAATCACAATTATCCCTAGTAATTCATGAAAATTCATCACATTTATTCAGTAATGATAATAAACAAAAATCTTTATCTGTTGAAATAGAGAAAAAGCCACATACTATAGCTAATGTTTATAGCACAAAGTTTATGTCAATTGATAGCGCAAAATCCTCATCTGCTAATAATTGCTTAATTAAAGAGTCACTAAGTTGTTTGACAACTGTAGAGAAATCTCTGAAAAAAGAACCAATTAACCTAGAAAATGTTTCTTCTAATTCTACCAAGGCAAAGGTAAAATTGTTAGAGCCAGTTTCTAATCCTTTTGAAAAATATTGTCTAAAACAATCTACTGAAGCATTAAAAAATAAATCCCTACCAAAAAAACAGTCTGGTCGTCAATGGTCAACTGTTATGTCAGAACGTGAACGTATAGTACCTCAACTTATGTTTGAAATGAGTTCTGCAGATGGTGTTTTTTGTAAAGATCGATCACTTGTAGAGATTTGGGCAAAATTGTTTGATGCAATTCAAGTATCAAGAAATGAACGTAAAATGCCATCGTTACCAAATAGTAATCCTTTCACAAGTGATATAACTGCTGCTATTCGCTCATTAGGACTCAGTAATAACTTTTTGAAGTATCTGTTAGAACAAATTTCTGATGCCAAAGAATTTGTAAAATATAAACCAACTTATCATAAAGGTGTAGATATTGTTGGCTCAACAGGTGAAAACTCTTCTGGATGTGCACGCACAGAAATAGTTATAAGAAAAAATAGATATGATATGTTTAGTTGGTTAGCATCAAGACATCGTAAACCTCCTAAACTCTTAGCTAATAATGAAGATTTTGGTGGTCGTAGAGCCAATTCATTACCTAATGAAATGAAGTATAGAAATATGAACAAGACTTTAACAACTACTGTTGGAGTATATCGATCTGATATACATGGTCGTGGATTATTTTGTTTAAGGGATATTGAACAAGGAGAATATGTCATTGAATACACAGGAGAAGTAAGTGTACAAGTTTTTAAATATATATCTTTAGTGAAAATGTTTTTTTTAATTGAATATTATTGTAGGTCATCAGATCTGAAGTGAGTGATGTTCGTGAAAGACTGTATAACAAAAAAGGAATAGATTGTTATATGTTTCGAATTGATCAAGATACTGTAATTGATGCGACAATGAATGGTAATTCATCAAGATTTATCAACCATTCCTGTGATGTAACTATCATTATTAGTATTTTTACTGTATTCTAAGATATACATCAAATAATATGTATTTTTTGTAACTAGCCTAATTGTCAGTCAAAAATTGAAACTATACATGGAAAAAAACATATTATGATATTAGCCAAAAGAAAAGTACTTCAAGGTGAAGAATTGACATACGATTATAAATTTCCATTAGAAGATGACAAGATAACATGCCATTGTCTTTCAAGAAAATGTCGTAAATATCTTAACTAAATTTTGGTTTTTTTTTTCTGTATTTAATATTTTCTGTTAGTTTTTGTATTAGAAACTTCTTATTTTTCCTTTCTGTTTATATTAAGTAAACATTTTATATTTAATTTATATATGTTGTAAAATATTTGACCAAATTAATTAATATACTTTGTACCAGTTTTATTTTATTTTAATATTTTACATTGTGACATTTCATTGTCAGCGATATTTATTATTATTTATTTTTGCTAAAATTGTAAACTAAATATACTGGTGTTATGATATTTCATACTCTGTTATACATAAAATGTATAAGTTCGAAATAAGTATAAATTGTTATCATTTAAAAATATCTAAAAAAAACATAATGAAACAATTGTTTATTTTATTTACTTAACTTCCTTTTTCATTTTTGTTAATTTCAAATTTATAATTAATATATTTTAGATAGTGAAGAACCATTAATATTAGTTAATTTTATCTTGCTATTTGTAAAAAATTTATATATATATATATATATTTATAGATGTATATTTTACTTAAATTGTATTTTTCTGCGATGTAAATTACTGTTAGATGTATATTATGATTTATAATATGCTTGTAAACTACCTCATAAATTTATTTAATGATATCCTTAAAATTTCTGTAAAATACTTAGAACTTTACCATCACTTCTATAACTAATATGTGATAATTAAAATAAATTATTTTGATATTAAATAATTACATACCTTATTTTAGATTAGAAATTTTCATAAAAGTACCAGACCAATTAAATTATTATTAATTAAAGTACAAATGATGTATATACGGAATGATTTTTTTAATAAGACAGTTGTGTTAAAGAAATTCTTTATGGTATATTTTAATATTATTTATTATTTTACAATTCTCAATTTATCAATTATTATGTTTTTTTTTCAACCTTTATACCTTATAAAGGGTGTCAACTTCATTTATTTTAGTGACAATATATAATTTTATAAAATAAAAATTAAGAAATGACTGGTTGATAAAAATGTTTGACCTATTGTTTTGAGAGTTATTAATATGTTTAAATATAAAGTGACAGAGTAATATATAATGATAAAAATAACATAATACACATGTCATCTCCACTATATATTTAAACATATAAATAACTTCCGAAATAATAAATCAAGAACACATGAAACTAAAAAATACCAAAATGAAATTCTCTTAACATAATTATTATTTTAAAAGAAATTGAGTGGCTAATGTTAAAATAATCCCACTATATACAAATTTTTTAAATACATAAAAAAAATATTATATTAAATTTATTTAATGTGCATGGAAGGGTTTGTGTAATTAGCAACGAACCTTCATTGGACAGAAAAAAATTAAGTAAACTAATTTATAATTAGTATTTTATAATGCACAGCTTTAACATTAAATTTTGTTGACATAAAAGGTTAATTTTGAAGACATGGAGGGTGAAATTATATTAGAGTATAAATTTAACTCAAATTGATCTATTTTTTGGAACAGATCTAAGTTGGATTGCATATTTCATTTTTCGAAGCCTTCTATTATTTAAAAAATTAGTATCAATTAATTACACTTAGAAATTTGTTTTTAAAATTTTATAGTTACAAATTAATGAAAATTGTTAAACGAATTTTTGTTCAATAAATAAATAAGTATTTAAATTATTAAGAAAAACGAAATAAAAGTAATCGTATAACATGATTGTCTTACTTGATCATTTATCTTAAGTAACCTACTATATATCTACTACTAATAGAGTAAGATTACCAGTGAATAAACAATTCTGAGTTTTAATGATAGAGAAAATATCTAAATTAATTCTTACTGCATATCACAATATTTGATAAAAATTCATCAACTATTCATTCATTGAAAAATTCGAATTTTCAACAGAAATAATAAATTAAAACTTTTGTGTTGATTAATTATACATATTTTTACATTAATTTTTAAAGAATTTTTTCAAAGAACAAATATATATTTTGTGAGTGTGGTATTAAAATATTAATTAATAAAAAACTATAAAAAAATAAAAACTATTGACTACTTATTCACTGAAGACTGAAGTTAAATTCAAGTCATCCTATCTAAATTCACCCATTTGGTTATAGTGTTTAGGAATATATATTCATAACTATGACTAATGCTTAAATTAGTATTATAATAAATCAATCAATTTATCAATTTATAATATTAATGTATTAATTATTTATAAATTTTTTGATGGTAAATATTATTCACTATTGAATCGGATTATTTATGTCAATTAACAAATAAAGAATAATTTATTAAGTAAAATTATTCTTTTTAATAAATAACCATATATTTTATATATAAAATCATTAATTTAAGACAAATTTATGGGATATTTATAACTAAATGATTTAAATTTTGTGAAAGTTATACGGTAGTTTTTAATATTCGATAAAGTATCACTGTACAAATACTGACGTGTTGTACAGTTCAAAAGTCCCGTTTTTATATGGCACTTGAAATTTGATAATTTAACTTCAGTTTGTGTTCAGCGTTGATAACGCGAGTCATTATCGAGTGCACTTGTTATTGTGAGTTGTCGTTTAATTAACTTTTAAATAGTATTACTGGTTTATTTAATCAGTTATTTCAATTTTTTTTTGTTTTACAAACGTAGACTATTCTTTATTACTACTATGTGTGCATTTATTAAATCATAGTCCATTGCTATCCAACTAATATCTCTACTTATTAATGCCTTTTACTTGATTAACGCCTATTTTTTGTATTTGAAAACTAATAAATAGTTTTATATTAGTGACTGAGATTCAAAGCAAAAAGGAAATGTTGTTTCGGACTATTAACTATTTTATACTATTAGTAGTTAATTTAAGCCTTTATGTGAGTGCTATTTGTTTTTTCTCATCATCTAGCCCGAATTCTTCAAATCGTTTGGATAATATTTGGCTCAATGAGGTAAGTCTACAATTTTATTACTACATATTAGTTAACATAACTACATAATAGCGCAATGTGTTACTTGATATTTCCTAATTTTTAATATAGGTCATTTTATATTTATTTATATTTATATTTATCAGTGACATGACTAGACCTTTAGAAGCCCCCAATGTAAGAATCTTTAGAGAAAACCTTTTAAATTATACATTTTATTGACCTTCCTTATTTTTTTGTTTCTTTGTATAAAATATTCTTATCATAAAATAGTCATTATGATAGCTTGACTAAATATAATAAACTCTTTAAATATTTTATTAAAAGTAATATTTTTATTTAAATAAATTGTATAGCTGAATAGGAAAAGGTAACAGTGAATCATAACTTTTAATAGTTGATTTTTTCCTTTTTCCACTTAGATATTCAATTATTTATTATATTGGTATAACACTGGTTAATTAACCAAATCAATTTATGTTTATATTTTTTACTGTTTTGGAATTATATTTAACAATTAATTTTTTGCAATAATACCATTGAAATAACATAATATAATTTTTATATTCGATTCACAAAAATTGAGTTCAAATGTAATATGAAAATATATGTTTATATTGTTGTAAAAATAAATCTGGTAGTAGTAGTGCAAAATAGATGTATAGTTTATACCAGTGACGTACACAGAAATTAAATTTGGGGGGGTTTTTTGAAATTTAAAGAAAATTAAATGTGACACTGCCCATATTGTTGGCTTACAAAAATTCCTATTTTCGATTACTTTATTGTGGAAATATTTATAGTGTGATATGATCTTTTTTATTGTTATTACTTATTGTTTATGGTCCAAAATTGTCGCTTAGCTTAAAGAAGATGCATGCTGTTTTTCTGAAAAAAAATGCATTTAACTTAATGTAGCACCAAGTCATCAATATTCTGTCCATGTACATTGTACATCTATAAATCTTATTTGATGTAAGAAAATAACTGTTGCAATTTAAAAGTATAGTCCTAATTTATTAGACAAATATTCTTTCAAAGTGATATTTTACTATCATATTTTTAATAATACAATAAGAACTTTGAAATTAAAGCATTGCAAAAATTATAACTTAAAATAAAATTTAATATTTTAAGATCATTGTATTATTTATTTTTTTGTTTTTTTTTTTGAGTTTTAAACAACTACAAATTGTCAATATAAAATTGTCCGTTTGGTTTATTTTTTTAATAAAATCAACTAATATTTTCAATTATTTGTTCGATTTGAACATATATTATTGTCAACTAATCTAAAAAGTCACTTTCTCAAATTTAAAGAAGTCTAATAATTTTTTAGTGGTGTATTTTATGGTTATTGATGTAAATTATGATTTTTTATAATGATGATAGTAAAATTAGGACAAAAAAGATATTAAAAATTAGCTTTCAAAAATATAGTGATAGCCATGTAAAAATTTACTTCGTGTCTTCATTTTTTTGGGGGAGTCGTCCATTAACGTCAAAAGCGATGTAGTTAGACAAAAAACCCTAATTCTAATAAGACAATCTATTCCCGATCTTGATCTAATGTAATTGTCATACACAAAAAATAAAATAAAGCAATTATTTTTTTGATAACACAAAATTAATACGAGAAAATTTCCTAAAACTTTACAAACTAGTTTTTTCCAATACAATTAAAATATTATGTTGCAATAATATTATATAAATTTGAGTGTACAGCAATTATTCCTAACACGTAAATTATAATAATTATCTGATTATCGCAAGTGCGTCACTATATATATAGGTAAGTATATATTGTAAAAAATATTTGACAAACGTAATATAAATAGTAATGATGTGAATTTTCGAATATTTTAAACTATCGAATACTATACGATATTCGAATTGTTTTTATACAACCAAATAGTTTATTTTTAGCATAAACTATCGAATAGTTTTAAAAACTATTCGAATATATTGTGTAACTATCCAATATTTTTATTATACGAATGGTTTTTGAATGACTATTGAATAAAGTTCGATAGTTACTATTCGATATTTCCTATCACTAATAAATAGTATAACTTAATAGGTGATTAGTTCAAGTATAGGTTGGTAACCAAATGTTGTGTTGACTTAAACATTTTAGAACAATCATGTTTTTATTATAACTATTATTATATAAAATAAATAGTGTAGTATAGAGTTTTGATATATAAATTTTAATTCAAATTTGTGTACATGACAAAAATTTTAATTTATCATTAAAGTACCGTATACAATATTGTAATACATGATTAAATGGGTATATTTTCATATTATATTAAGTAAAACCGACTGGTACTTATTATCTGCTTTCCTTCTCACCATACTGAATTGTTTTTCTAATAAAAAATTTTATAGTGAACAATTTTTTTTTATTCGCACTGTAAATTTTATAATGTATGGGTACCTATATATTCATATCTACAGATAAAAAAATATAGTTACATAAAAAATATTCCAGTAATAACTATAAAACTAAAATAGTAATTTTTGAGTACCCTATTTTAATATATTTTCAATTTAAAAATTATCCCGTTTTGGTAGCGTATTTTTATTAAATTTAATTTGTCTATCAAGAGCTTAAAAATGAGTGAATTTTCAAAGCAACGGAAACATTCGAACTGTTAGAGAAATTATTTTAACCTTAAGTCATTTGTTTATTTTACTAGTATCAGAAAAATTGTTTTATTAAGAACTGTAAATTTATTAATAGATTATTAATTTAAAAATTTATTAGTTGAATAGCAAATGGTTCACTGTTAATATTTACCAAAAATAAAATTATTTCTATCTTATTTATATTTTTATGTTTGTATTTTTAAGAACGAGAGTAAAATTATTCTAATAAACATACAAAAAAATATTTTACCGCATAATTAATATGTTATTTAAGATTAGTTTTTTGGGATGACAAAGTTAATTAAGGCGAAATTATAGGAACACGCTTAGTCCATTCAATTTTTAAACGCATTACACATGAAAACTAAATAATCTTTTAATTTAATAAATCGTTTTAAAATAATTTTTTAATACGTGTACAAATTAATCTTTCATATCAATGTCAATTTTTGCGATATTTAGGTTTATAGAGTATACGTAAGCATCTTTCCTCCCTACTAGAAATAAAGTTTAACTTAAATTACGTATATATTCATTATATTATGTCGAAATTAGCTAGTAGTTTTAATTAAATGTAAAAATGCATGTCTGATCTTAATATCATATAAATTATTAAACAATTTTATATCTTTTTTTGACATGTATTTGATAAATTGTTTGTTTTTAATTAAAATATACCCAAAAGAATTATTTTTTATTGTAAGATCCGTTATTTCTTATATTGAAATACAATCTTTTTTACACTACTGACTAACTCGTCAATAGTATAATAAGATTTTAGATGTCAAATACCTCCCTCAGTTGTATAATAATTATTATTCAGAGAGAAGTATGATGACACTGAGATGTCAATGAAGGATACATAAAAAAAATAAGGTAAGTCAATTTTATGTAAACTGAGAATATTGGATTTTTAATTTCTAAACAACATTGTACAGTACATCATAACTTTCGGGGGCTATATTTCTAAAAATCCACTTCTTTTCTACTGGTTTTTTTGCTTAAAAAATACATTATGATAAATCGAATATTTTGTCACCAAAATCTCAATTTTGAGAAGTATTGACTTACCCTTTTTTTCTGCGTACCCTTCATATAAATAATATTCGATAATTGAACTTAACATTGAACCGACAGTGACGTGCAAATGGTAAGAGATTAGAGGATAGATCATCTCCTTGACATACCTTTTTTTACAATTTTATTTTATTTTAAAAACTTTTTGTATAATAATTTAATTTAAAAATTATTGAAAGTGTAAAATTTCAATTTTATTACTCGTGTTGCTTTAAACATTACTAGTTCAATTGAAAAAAAAAAATCGAACCGAACTTTTCCCCTGTAATTCCGTTTGAAAATTTAACTAGTATATTTAAAATTCCATACTAAATTTGTTTAAGAATAATATAAAAAAAAAAAAATTTGAATTGTTCAGTTTAGTCTCGGGTTCGTTAGTAAATTAAAAATTCGATTCGATTGAAAAAAATGAAACGACAATGAGTCATTGAATCGTTGGAAATTAGTTTACTGACTCAAAAGTGAGATAAATAAGTTTGAAAATCATGTTTGCTATATAGTATCGCCAAAACAAAATGACAAATAAAATACTGAAAATAAGTAATTTTAGTTAATTTTAACTTATGTATTACATTTATAGAAAAACTCTAAATTTAATAGATTATTGTTGAATTATTTTTACAAAAAATATGTTTGTATTATTCTAAGTTTTGAACAGTTTATAAAATAAATATATACTAGCCACCTATGAAAATATTCTTACGAAATTAAAAATTTTATTTTTAAACGAATACAATATATTTAAGAAATTGCTTGAAACTACTTTATTGCATTACTAGTATTTGATCATTACTATTCAAGATAATAATTAATTATATACAATATATATTTGAGTTATATTATAGTTTTTATTTAATATTTTGTAAATTTAAGGTTAATAAACTATGTTAATAATATGTTAGAAATGTGATTTAAGTTAAGTTTAAGAAAGAAAGAGATTTTCTAAAACATATGACCATTATTATTTTTCTAAAGTTCTTATTAAAAATATAGACATATTTTTTCATTTTTTTAGATTAAATTCAATTAGATTATAACAAGATTAGATCAAAGCCATATATATTATATCATTCAAAATGATTTTTTTATAAATTTATTTATTTTCCATTAATTTCAAGTTGAACTATAAAAGCAAGTGTTAAAGATAGCAATTACAGTGTCAATATTCTAAAGCCTTGCACAGGTGTTTGATTATAAGTATAATCTAACATTTATTAATATCTTTAGATGTATTTTTTTTGCGTTAAATTATTTAGTGATATATGTTAATATAATTTTTATTTATTTGAAATGTTATTCTTATTTTTATAAATATTTCAAAGAATTATTATTCTAACCATGCATTTTAGGTCACAGAAAAGTCTACATTAACATCTACGTCAAATTCTCTCTTTTCTTCTCACAAAAATTTAATAAAAATTCTTATAGAATATTATTATTATTTATTACTATTTTAAGTTGTTACGATTGTTGTCAAAAAAGTGCTAGCTGCATAAAATTCAAATTGTCTTAAAAAAACATAATTTTTTTTTATCAAAATATATAAAAATACATTCTGTATAATTTCCTGTAATGAAGGTTATTAAATGTCCTTACTTTTTTACTATTGTTCATTAGACCGTGTTTTATATGATATGAGGGCAATATTATTGTGTTCTACAGTTAAATTAAAATGTATCAAAAAATTTGAATCATGTTACAACTTGAACTGTGCTTATTATTTAACCTGTTTAGAATAAAAAAAATGTAATATAAAATTACACATGTTCAAAAAAATATATTAATCGCTTAGTTATCTATTTATTTATAAAAGCGATACTTAATAGTTGATTAATTTAATATATATTATTGTATGTGTCCTCAGGGACATAATTAATTTGAAATGATATATTATAACTAAATTTCTGTATTTTATATTTGATGTCACGACTATTCTAAATATATATTCCGGACCAAAAAGAGGCTTCGATCATACCAAATAAAAAATGAATTAAATTATCATTCTAAAACAGATAATGGCAATAATTTAGAGCGGCATGTAAACTGTTGTGTTTTACGTTTTTTATTTAATTTTTAACCTATATTTAAATTCCTTCAACATTTTAATTACACTACAAAGAAATGGATTCACATTTTTATAAATATATTCTAAAAGTTTTTACTCGTCAAAATGATAAAACATTAAATTTATATAAAGACATAGTAAAAAATAAAAAAATTGATATATATATAATTTATAACCAAAGTAATATACTAATAAAACGGTAGCACAGTGGGGTCGCGGCATAGTGGAGACATTGCATAGTTGGGTTCAGTATAGATTTAATCTGACAGTGATTAAAATCACTATCATAAGAAACGCTTCGATGCAAATCTGTAGATAGTGTTTAATTTTAAAAAATTGATGGATAATTGCAAAAGCAACATCAACTTCTATTAAAATAAAATACAAAACCCATAATTTTCATACAAAAATAGCATATTTTTGAATATGGTAGCCATTTGCGTATAGAAGATAGGTCGTCGGGACAAATTTTTTTTTTTCATTTTGTAGTACATAAAATAAGCTTTAATTTTATATATGTTTAAAGGACGCAGTATTTCCGGAACATTTTCAAAAATTAAGTTGAAAAAGTTATTTTTTGTAAAAAAATTACTATTTTAAATCTCCTCAGTGAGCAGAATAAGTGTTAGATTTTCAAAAAAAATTATATCAAATGAAAGGGAAATATCTAAGGTTTCAATACAAAAAAATATTATTTTTATTTGTTCATTTTTGAAAAAGTTATGGCAGTTTTAAGTACAAAAAA